CCTCTCAATAAGCCGTTAGTGCCTCCATCCTCTGTCGTACTTATAAACTGGCTGACAGAATAGTGGAGAAATGCGACCAAAAGTATTATCGTAATTTATATTTACGTTTGTTTACAGACTTTTTCAACGATTAGCCATTATAAATCTGTTTCGTTATCTCCTGAAGAATAAACAATCATGTTGCCGCACCGTTTTTCTGTTGTTTGGCGTCGATTATTTCGCGTGGCATTCTCAGTATTAAGCTTAGTCCCCTGAAAATAGCGATAATTTCAGGATCTCTGTGATCTGGATATTCGACAACAAATGTCAGATGAAACACTTTTAAATAACACGGAGTTCATACGAAAGAAGGGTGTAGACTGTTGTTGTCCACCGGTCCTCGCAGGATGGGCTCTCTCCGAATGTTATAAGGGAAAGTTGAGATGGCATATCAGAATTGAGAAATCAGTTTCCAGGTCGGCACACACGATCGAATTCGTATTCACGGGGATTTCCTGCATTCTAGCAATCTGATCCTCAGCGTTCTTGAAGATTTGTAACCTTCGAAGTGATTTGTGGTCTGCTCCATGCATAAAATTTTGTCCAAGGAGATACAGACGGTATTTACAAATGATGGTAAAAGCAGCTAACATTTCTCTCCTATTGATGCAGTATTTTTTCTGTCTAGCTCAACATGCAGCTACCGAATTTCATGATACATTCTTTACCACAGCTACCGACCGGAGATTATATGGCTCCAATGGCTGTTTGACTGGCATCAGTGCCTGAGACCTACTCGCCGGCTGTTGAGAATGTATCTGAAAAGGCGAATGTGAGCGCCGATCATAATGAATCTTTCAGTAGACGGAAGGTACGATCACACCTCTCCACCCATACTAAAAGAATATTTCTTCTGATAGACTTTGTCAAAGAGCTGGCGATTTCAGAATGGTTCCAGACAAAACGACAATAATGCGAGACTAATCCCAGATAACTGCGTGACCCATTTGTAGAATTCCGCACCAGTAATGCTCCGAGGGATATAACGTTTTCTGGGCTGCCTCGCACTCCGCCTGCTCTGACCACATGCCCAAGGTATGTGATTTCCGTTCTAAACAGACGATAGTTATTCGACTACGCTTTGAGTACTCCCTACTTCAAACGTCCCAACACCATGAGCAGTCCTTTAACGTTCCCTTTGATAGTGTGACTGATCACAACGATATCACCTAAATATATTATGCAAATTTTTAGAGCCGGTCCATTATTATCGCTTGCATTAACCTTTTGAATTTTACTGATGTACAGCTTAAGCCGAAAGACATGGTTCGGAATTCATGTAACTTGTTAGGAATCTTAAAAGCGGTCCCATGCCGGTCATGAAGGTGGACTTCAGCCTGCCAATATCGCGAAGAAAAATGCAAGTTTGGGAACCAGATGCACTTGAAGATGCCTCGAACGTTTCGTCTATTCGTGGCAAGGGGTGAGCATCTATCCGTATCACTGCATTCTATTTCCCGCAATCAACACACAAACGGAGGGATCCGCTTTTCTTTTTAACTAGCGCGATAGGGTAAGTTCATGCTGAATTCGATTATGTAATTATCTTTATCTGCAACGTTTCCTCAACGATAATTTCAGGTTGAGGGTGGAACTTAGATGGAATCTGGCGAGGTACTCATCATATTGGAGCAAAATTATCAGTGTCAAGAGCATATCCGATATCTATTATTCTCCAGAGATCATCCGGTTACTACAAGGCTGCCTCAGAAAAATCCGACATTGGCTGACGTGTGTCCCCTTTATGTTCACCAGGAAGCTGTGCTAACATTTTCCCCATCATGATCATATCAAGTGCGGATATGTAGTATTACTCCATATCCTGAAACACTACGCAGAACCTAATAGAGTGGCAGCTTCAGATTTAGTGTAGATTGAGGCCTTGGGACCAGGTGGAGGATCATAGTCCACAATCAAATCCACCGAGATTTCAATAACTGCCAAACAGGAATGACACATGCAACCGCCTCTACCTTTTCATAATATTCACAACTCTCAAGGTACTTTCATTCTGTACCCTATTGTCAATTGAAGTTGTAGGTAGTGAGTGGATGTAAGTTGTTTGTCACCACAGTGTATGTGTGAAAAAACCTGCAAGCTTCACTGATATCTATCAAGCTGACGAAGATTTTGCCTTGGAATCTTGCTTAGTTGATCATTAAGTGGTTAGCTAAACATGAGCCCTATGATACCTACATAACATTGAGTATGACCGATAGGAGCTCGCCATTTTCCCTAAAACGCAGGTGTTCGTCAAGCTCGCCACTGTTCGTGGTTGTCCCACAGGACGTCTCGCATAGCGGACAGAGGGAGGATGTGGCCTGAATTTTCAACTTGTGCGGGCTCCCTCAACATGGCCATATATGGCATTAGTTCTCCAAGCGCTAACAGCATACAGGACAATTCCGTCTCTGTCTGGTTCCTGCGAAGGTTTAGAAATGACTCTTTCGCCTTCGCAATCTGTACCGCCTCTGTTGGTGATGTGGCACTACTCTCGTATACCTTCTCTCTCACCTCGTTGAGGAGTAGTCCCGCTTCAAAATGGTGCGCAGTATGCAAATTGGTGGGGAATTGAATTCTAGATTATCATATTTCACACCATGTTACGTAACAATTTAAATTCGTCTATTAATCCTATCATTTTGTAACCCTTTCCAAAATCTATACATCTTATGTATTATTCTATAGATGACATTAAACTATAATTATAATCAAAAAGATTTTAATTGCATTTTATAATATTTGTCAGTGTCCAGGCCTTACTACACTTAACCTCACGCTGTCCCTCAAAGACTTTCAGAAACAATCTGTAATGACCAACGCGAAAAACCGGAGCACAGATTGGCAACTCGAGGATCCTTTATCCTTACGCCAAAAATAAGGTTATTACACACAAGGTCTAAGAAAAATGTTATAACAATAAATCGCGATAATACTTCTGATAGTTTTCTGTCTTCCACCAAAAAACGAACAATGAGACGATGGCTGATGGATTGATGAATCCCGCGAAAAATATGGAGGAGTTGGGTTTGAGCAAACAACCATGAATTTATCGTTCAATCTTCAACTACATTGACACTATTATCATTTCATGTATTCGCACTTTTGTCCTAATTCCCTCACCGGGTACAATTTCTTAAAAAAACCACAAATGTACGGTTGTACAGCTTGATGGTAAATTTGTTGAAAACAGTCTGTTTGCTGAATACTGTGTTCTTATTACTACGATTTCCTCGGTACTGTGAAGAAATTCACGCTATGTGGTATGGTCATCCCAATACCCACTGACTGCTCAGAATTTTGAAATCATATATACCAACTGTGACAGTCCAACCTGATGATGACATTCAGTCATCAGACTCTCTTGAATTTCCTTCCTAATGTGAAAAATCGCTTTTCTAGATGTCCCCACAGGAACATTTGATAGTAAAGGTGTATGTCGTTAAGTAAAGTTTGTGAACAGCTTTCTTCTACTCGGTTGGAAAAGAAGTTTGGTTAGGACACTTTGTGCGATACCTGAATTAAGTATAGCTTTCCAAAAGAGACTGTATAAAACACGTGGAGACGAAAGTCGGATAAACGTTCTGTATCTGTAAACAAGAAGCCTGCATGTGTACAAGAGAAATTTAAGAGTGATATGCTAAATGAACTAGCAATCAACAACCAACTTGAGGCAAAGGCATATTTGCAGCTTATAATTTCTTCACGCCCTGATTTCGGCTGCGAAATAATAGGAGACTGCCTTTCTTTACCAGTTCATATCAATTCAGAGGCTTTTTTAGAGACTGTCATATAAAGCATTCTAAAAACTTAGTTTCTCGTATTCGAGAACACCTAGCAATGTGGCCAAATAAAATGTAGTTTAACTCACTGAAACTTACACTTTAGAACACTTGGTGTAAACGGGCTGTTAAATTATCAGGACGAATTTTATTCTATGTTCTGCTGTGCACCAAATAAATTGCTGCTAGATATAAGGCATTGAGTGCTCCATTCAGAAGGCATAGCAGCCCCCCAAAATTAATCTGGATTTTGCATATAGAAGAAACAAGTCTAACTTCTGCTGCCACTGTGGCCTGATATGCAATGGAAAAATTCACAAATGCTCTATTACGTTTTTTAATTCATCAGAGTTTTTATTAGTCGTTACAATTATGCTCATTTCCGTAGATTCATTTTGAAATCTCACCTGACCCTGCTCATCCTGTTATTTAAAAGCATTAATGTCGACAACCACTCTTAAAGCTTTATGGATATATATATGGAGATTTCAGTGAATAAATTAGTGGAAAGATATTTTACGTTCACCAATTAGTTTTATGAAACTAATATTTTCCAATATCCAATATCGTTTTTTCAAGTTAGTATAAACCGATTTGATTTCTTTGTGCTCACTTCTTGGTTGTAAGGTATAGGTTCCTGATCTTCGGTAAACTTCTGCGTGGCTTGTCTCGCCACTCGACTGTCGTAGCTTTGGTTGACTCCAAAGGGAGTAGTGCTGGGATTAATTATATGTGGTTTGTAGTATGAGGTATGTTAAGACTGTTACTACTGTGATTGAAGTTGATCCTTTCGCCAGTTAGCCCTCCGGTATCGTCGATAAGAGAAAGTAATTATGATGATAATAAATATAATTAGTGAAGTTATTCAGACTAACAGACAGAAAAAGAAATAAGAAAACGTAACAACAGTCAGCTGATTAAATTTGAAAATTAATACGAATAATATATATACATATATATATCGGTAATAATGATAATAATAGCTGAATAGCAATAAGTATGAGGAACCAGCATCTTGAGACCCCATTATACTGATTTTAAAGGTTCCGGACAATAAATCTCTGAAGAGAACAAAAGAACTGTGCAAGTTGTTTACCTACAAAATCGGTTTGTTATTTCACCGAAAAGCGCCAAGCTTGATCAGTGGTTTTGCCGCGCGTTTTGTGCTCTGCGGTTCTGATGGCACAGAAAATCTTCCAATCTTTCAGAAGAATCCCTGGTAATTTCCCTACCTTTCGTAAAAAAGCAGAGCAAAGCGATTTACAAGGATCAAAACACAAGGTGTCTATTGTAAGTCTTACGATGTCTGGTGATGGTTTTTTCAGTGTTGCGACTATGGGTTTCCTTCTAAACCTACTTCACTTGCCTACGATCCAGTTTTGGACATGCTTGCTGTTTTAACGCGTGATGGAAACCTTTATATGTATCCTTTGTATTTCGTTGGGTAGTAATATGCTCGAATATAAACATCCGCTCATATTACACAACATGTTTTTTTTAATTCGAGGATAAGTAATGTTAAAGAAATATAACGAAGTTTTTTGAATAACTAGATGATGTATTTGTAACCTCATACCCTCCTCTACGAATAGTTAAATCGGTCCATTTTCGTTGTTTTTTTCATCAGATGCACTTATTTTCTAAATGGTGTAATGCAGTTCATGTCCACTGTACTCGTTTATGTATTTACTTTGCAGAAGTTGAACTACATAGAGTTTAGTGTAAAATGCTTGTAAGAATTGGTGCCAGAAGTTTTTCGACATACTTCTTCGTAGTTATTTTGGCAGTTGGGTAGATGGAAATCCTAAGTCTGTATTTTCTGTTGTTATGTTTCAGAGTAGCTGTTACTCATGCTACTTCGAGAATTTATGAGTATTTGGCAGCAGTGAAATCTTTTCCGCTTTTAATTTAGCTGCTGAAATGGTTATTATTACTTTTGAACTCTGAAGCATATGTACAAGATTTTGCATTCATCACTGCGTGAATACGTGACGTGAAAGTCATAATGTTAACTTATTCAGGTAAAAGGGATGTCGGTGATTTCAGGCGATAAAGTGTTATCGTATCCGGTAGTAGCTCAGACTTTTAAAACGTCTTATTCCAACTGTCCCTGTCATAGTTTCATGTGGAACTCCAAATAATCTGTTTACTTAATGTCCGTCGTATAGTTGTGGAAGTTCAACATTTTCCTCGTACGTCTGTTCATCCTTAATGCTAATTAAGATACGGAAAACCAGGAATAGCATTTTCTGCCTTGCACGAAACGGTTGCCCAATATATCCAGGTTATCTTTCTAACTGGCAGTGTAAGTCTTGTGTATATAATATGTCACTCTTTCAGAAAAAGCTGGTTACGCTGACAGATTCAGATGATTTATATCTGTGGGAATTGGCTTCATCGGGACAGACGTCCAGCCAACTAGTTCAGAGATCATGCCTCAAGAGGATCACAAGCCAGCTTAGATCTCAATCAATAGGAATTGGAGGTACCGCTAATAGTGAAGAAAACAGTCATGTTACTGCCATGTACTACGCATCTGAAAGTCAAAGTATTTTAATAGGTTGTGATAACGGCTGGGTTGCTCCTATTCGTCTAAACACCAATTCGGTCACTAATGATTACACGAAATTCTGGTGTGCTCCTTCAGTTGATGATGGAATAAGCCCTTCTCGAGTATTGGATAGGTGAGTTCCTGTTATTTTATTAAAAAGGTCTGAAAATAATAACCGTACAAGTAGTGTTTAGAAACTTTCAGAAGCTTCTTGCAGGACATGATAAGCACTCAACTTTCGACGAAGTACACACTGTGTTTAATGTCGATTTTATACTTATGAACTGAACCAGAAAGCTGTTACTTAGTTTTCAAACAATAGATTTGGTTTGTCGAATTGTACACAGATGGATATGTAGTCGATAATCTTAAGTTGCTCTACGTTATGCATTTTAGTAGTAGGCGAAGATTGTACTCATCTTTTTAAATCTAGTTGTTGCTTCGATTAGTGACAGTTGTAGGGTGGCTACAAAGTAGTTTTAAAATGCCAAATTTTGTCGTATTCTTGTGCATTACAAGAGCTAATGTTTCCTGAAAACATTGTTTTCTGCGTTCACATAGTGGTTATAATATACAGCTTCATAAGTCATTGTTTAACTAGATTTGTTTGGTAAACAGAATGTAGCCATCTGTATCGTTATTTTATCTAATTACAGTATAATTTCTCACGCTGCACATTTTCAGTATACCACCTGACCCTCGTCAGCGTCATCGTGCAGATGCTGTCGTAGTTCTGTCAGAAAGGCCTGGTTTTCCAGGACAGCTGCTTATCGGCTACAATTCCGGCTTGAGTGTACTATTTGACCTACGCTCGAATCGCTTAATGACTTATTTACCGTGGCAACATGGTTTGGAGTCTGCAGCTTGGTGTGGCGGCAATGGCAAACCGCATAACTCAAAACCACCATCACATTCACCTCATCTGGGGACACGTCTCTTGGCCGCACATACAGATGGATCTCTGGGAGTGTGGAGTTTTAAGGACATTGGATTTCCCACAATAACAAGTACTCCTGTCCAAGCGACCATGCTATCAATGGAAGAACCTCCAAGTATGCCCTATGGTAAGTTTCTCACGTTGTTATTAATTTCCATTCAAAAGAAATAAGCTGTGTTATTTCATACATTTCGCAGTCATATTCACCGGTTTTACCTGCATCCTGTCAATGTATAGTGCTTTCCATTAGCGTATAGTCAGTTTCCATCATTTCTGACAACATGGATTTTTGGAAAGCTCACTCGACATCAGTTTAGCTTTACAGATTGTATTGGTCAGTTGTCATGATTCTCAATTTAATGGTAGATGCCCGTAACTGACAGTAACTGACAACTAGGATTCTAAGACTTCATATACCTTATGACAATATCGTCACAGTGCTGATAAGAGCACCTTTATCAGCAATGGGTTGTACACTGTGTCACAAATGTCAAGCGTGAATGGATAGCCGAAGACTACAACGTAGTACTAGGAAATGTAATTGAACTCGAGTATTCATTATAATTAACTTCAATGCATTCACAAATTCCATACGGGCATCTGTCTGTCTGTCTGTTTTCGACATAGACAGACAGACAGATGCCCGTATGGAATTTGTGAATGCATTGAAGTTAATTATAATGAATACTCGAGTTCAATTACATTTCCTAGTACTACGTTGTAGTCTTCGGCTATCCATTCACGCTTGACATTTGTGACACAGTGTACAACCCATTGCTGATAAAGGTGCTCTTATCAGCACTGTGACGATATTGTCATAAGGTATATGAAGTCTTAGAATCCTAGTTGTCAGTTACTGTAGTTACTTGGCCACTTGTTCACCTGATTAACAAGCACCAGTGTGATACTTCTTTGATTTACTACTAGTTAATGGAGAATCTTCAAAATAAAGTAGTGATCTGATTATGTATTTTGTTCTCAGCAAAGTAAAGTTATCTCTCATTTGCATTTAGAAATGTGACGTTAAGAAAGTGTTCAAACGTAAAACACCAATACATGACAAGTTTAGCGATATTAAAGCAGATTTACTGCATCTTAGCACGCGTTTTTAACAGAATGCATCATGACACCAATAAACTCCAGCAATTACAAAAGAAGCAGATACTGATTTACGTCGTGTACAAAGCATTTTAAGTAGACTTCCCGTCAACGAGCATTGAATCAGGTATAAAACCTTTCATGTTTTCTCTTCAGTGAATGATATGTGATGGCTTCCACTTCTAATTAGTAAGTCTCAAAGGTTGTGCACTTGGGAATTCTATTGCATACAACAGTCATATGCCAGTTGGTCATAAAATTAACCGATTTGATGACTTGATTTTAATGCACATTAACCCTCTACTTAATAGATTCTGACGGTGACAACCAGTTAATACAATGTCTCCGCATACCTAGTGTGAATGACAGCCCGGTACATCAAAACTTCTATTTGATCGTTTAGTCACGTCCTTATTGCTTTTTAATAGGTGTATGCTTAGAATACATTTGGTCGACAGTAATGTCTTTCATTTATGAGACTAGTCACTATATCTCTACATGCTCTATCGTTTTTCTATATTTTCATCATATGTTCCTAATATTAGTGGTTTTGGTAGGATCAAAACACTGGTTCGATTGCACTGCAAGTCATTTAATATTCACTGATCGAGATTTTCGGAGTACTTTTTTGTTTACTGAACCATAGTAGTTTTTGTGAGAGTTTAAGCCTGACTCCAGGTATGCACATATTCTAAATTCATCGTGGTTGAAGCTCATGCACTAATAATATATTATTTCATACCCATTTATTTATTTATTCTAATATTATTTGCTATTGCAAGTTAAAGCAAGCATTTCCGTGTTTCCGTCCATGGTTCTGCACCAGTTTGCATATCTATTTACCGTGTTTACTCGTACTGTATCGATTAGATGCTCTGTATGTGAACTGTAGCTTTCAGTATTCTTTGTATCCCGAGATTATCAGTTGATTCATTCATAGTATAAGGGGCAGAGATGCCAGTAGTTGGGTGTAGTAAAAACTGTTAAAGTTAGTGAAAAAGATAGACAGTTGAACAATACTGGTCGGCAGAGTTTATTCAAAAGAGAGATGAAGACTCTAAGTGCTTAACTACCTTTGCCTTGATAGCATTGTTTGCATTCGGTGAAGTCAGGTTATGTGCAGTGTATATCATCTTCGTTAAAGACGTTCAAATCAGCCTAGTGATTTCAAAGCTTTTATGGACTTGTATATCTGGGAAATATTTCGCGCATATATATCAACTGACTTCTTAGAGTTTTATGTCAGTGAAGGTGGAAGAAACTAAGCGTATTCAGATATGGCGTTATTTCATCAGGTCATCAGTGCGGAATAGAGTGTGGGAGGGTATGTGGATTCATCGGTTGGAGTCAACGTTACTGCTAGAATGTTTCAGTTAAAGGCTTTAGGTTATCTGGCTTAAAATGGATAACAGTGACTCCGATGGGTTCACATCCTATTCTCAACCTCAGTGTGATATCACATTTTCATTCGCATCAGCTTCTCCCTAAAGCATTTATTGAATTCTTAATTCGTAGATATAGATGTGACAATTTGGACAACTTTCATATTTCTATGTCACGTATTATTTTCAATCATTTGGTTAAGTGTGATTATCTACTGATGTTATCTACATGTTTTCCTCCCACAATACTGAACACATTCTCACTATTTTGGCTGGATTGAATGAAATCAACAAAGTTCTTACCGAAATAACCATTATACCAATTTCAAGAGTTAAAAAGCACCATATTTTGCAAAACTGATTGTTTTTACATTACTCGAATTCGTCAAAAGAGATAGTGTTGTGTCGCGTTTTCATATTACTATCTTCTTAAAGCATTCAGAAAAGCCATAGTTCAGGAGTTCATTTGTCTACATTAAGTGTAATGGCTTCTGTTTAGGTCATTTTTGCAAACAGTGTTTTAACTTAAGCATAATACTGCACACTAATCATTTCCAAAGAAATGGAATTGTCTTCTTAAAACTTGCTGATTATCAATTGTGATTAGATCGTTTCTTTTATTTTCAGGACCTTTTCCGTGTAAATTAATCAGCAAAGTTTTCTGGCTTCCTTCAGCCTTGTAAGTTACTTTGTACTTTGTATATTTAAAATTCCAAAAATTAACTTTCCTTTAGTTATGTCTAGGTACGTTAGCCGTCATAAGATTGAGTTCGTAAAGGTTACGATCGGTCAAGTGGAAACATGCCATCAGTTTCTGAAGTCTCTAATCACCTTGGGAGCTAAAGACTGCCTTTTTAGAGTCCTATCGACTCTGAAACAACATCAGGTAGATGAATAGTTCAAAATCGGTCTTAGTGACGCAGATGCATTCATTCTTTGCAATCTCCCAGATGCATAAAACGCTCACTTTTCTTCATGTAATTATTCCTTCTCCAATATATTTCTGTGTATTACAGTTCCTTTGCATTTGTTTCCTCTTCTATCCCATTGTGTTGTTTTATGAAGTGTGGGAAATTGAACTGCTGCATTTTTGTGCAAAATTGTATGTTGTTAATTCACTTCCAGTTAGGTAATTCATCATTGTTGTACTTTTCTTGTTGGAAACCCGGCCCAGACAACCAACCTACCACCACCACTTTGTAAAGATGATGGCGAGATCCTCGTCACATCGATGTGGAGGGTGTTTCATCAATGTGGAATGCAGTCATCCTCGTCCACATCTATAAAAAAGGTCAACAAAACACATGCGCCAACCATAGGGGTATCAGTTTGCTACCAATTGCGTCTTAGATATTGGCTGCTGTCTTGCTTCGCAGGCTGTCAAAATACATGAGGAATTGATTCGCCAACAGCACGCCGGGTTTCTTTCAGGCCATGAGTGGACTGATTATGTGCTCACCCTAAACCGATTTTTGGAACACCGTTACACGTATTACAAGTCAACAATCGTTGGGTTTCTTGATATTAGGGCTACATTGGATTCGTTGGATAGAACTGTTCTCTGGAACTGTCTGTTAGACAGGGGTGTACATGAGAACTTCCTCAAAACCCTATCATCATCAATGTTCCCAATCGACAATGGGGTTAGACAGGGTGGCCCAATCCCTCTTTTTCTCAATAACTTTCCCTTCAATCACCATCTGGAGTTAGCTCTGAAGACGTAAATGGTGTTGGTGGTGATGGTGGTGTAGATCTGCTTTCTGGAGAAAGACTTTTCTACCTCGAGTAAGCAGACGATATCGTCCTATTGTTCTATGGCTTGCAGGCTACCCCAGTCTCACTTAAACAGTTGGTGATCAATGCCTGTAAGTGTGATACGTGCTTCGCACCGTCTAAGTGCGAGGTACAGTAACAAGATTGGCAACAGCCTGTAACTGCATTCATCATTCTTGCATCTGAGTTGCATGAAGTTGTCGATAAGTTCGTGTATCCGGGTAGTTGTGTGAGTGCTGGCGGCAGGTATGTGTGACTGACGAGATTTCCAACGATATCAGGAAGGCTAGAGTGGCATACGACAACTTCAGTCACTTCTGGCACCGTCTAGACGCTAGGCTGGCTGTCAAAGGTCGGCTTTGTAATGCATCGGTGCATACAGTCTTGCTCCACCACTGCGAAACCTGGTCTCGCCGAGGTGAGGATGTCAAGCGACTCTGCCTATTTGACCATCAATGTCTCCATAGACTTTTTTGCGTTCGATATCATCGTGTGAGTAGTTCTGAGCTGCAACAGCGCGTGTTTAGACATAGTGAAGACCACCATCCATTGAATATCGTCATCTGGGAAAATCGGCTTCAGTGGTTTGGAAATGTTGATAGAGTGTCGTCCTAGAAGCCTCCGTACGGGTCTTTGTTCCCTCGCCCAGGGATGGGACAGAAAAGGCGGAGAGGTGGTCAGCCTATGATACGGCGTTGTGGGATGGAGGATGTTTGTTGTAGGCTAGCATCGGATGGTACATCACTACTCCCCCGTTATAGTCGGAGAGATAGCTCGAATCGGTAGCTCAAAGCGTTGTCGGATATGGTTAAGAGTTGCAATCAATGACAGATGTGCTGCGATTCGCTCTTGTCTTCCCTTTCTGAAACTGATTTGACGAATGAGGTTTGGTCTTGTAAAATGTAACTGCTTTCTTCGCAGATGAAGTCCTTATTCCTTCCCTCATTCGTTCTCCACTTTTTTTTTCAAATGGTGTTTCATTAGTACTGTGTGGTGCATATTCTTGATGCTTATATTGTACCACGTTTTGTGCTTTAAATAAATAAATTTCATGTTGAGAGTGTGGTAATTTTTATGCAGTGCTATTTTTTCGTAACTCACTGTTTGGCTTCATGTTTTCATTTCGTTCATTGTGAATAGTGGAGGAATCACAGTATTTGTGGGGGGAATGCCGCGTGCCACTTACGGAGAACGTCATACTGTTAGTGTATTACGTGGGTCTAATATCGATGAGGCAGCTAATGCCAATATTGCTGCCGCTCGACTTGCTGCAGCGGCTGAGGCTGAAGACGATGATGAATTACCGGAAGGATGTCAAGCGTCTGCTGCTCCCATCCATGTTTTTGATTCGGATGCACCGGAACATGTTTGTTTTGACTTACCTTCCAAATTAATTGATTTGGTTCCTGTCGGACCTCTGGGTGGACCTGTTCAGATACTTATTCTTTTATGTGAGGAGGAGTTAGTAGCAGTTGATCTTATTACTTCCGGTTGGCCTTTCATGCGCCCTCCTTATCTAACTTGTCTTCATACGACATCTCTAACAGCATACAACCTAACAACCCAAGTAAGTTTTTAAGATGTATCCTCACTTTGTTTAAACATAAATTATCACGAGCTTAATACACTGAAATGCTGTGATGTGAACAGTTTTCTACAAATTTTTGTTTCTAAATTCGATACTTCCTTCGTATATTTCTGTTTAGAAATCAGCCTAGTATGTGTAAGTTAATTGTGGTTATATTGCTGTCGCACCTCATCTCAGTCATCGTGACCTTTATTTTGATGTTATTCATGGTATTTTAACCACTGGTCACAGATGCTGTAATCTTTGAGTCAGACCGACAAAACTCTTTTCAGGAATTTAAAATTTGCTTCGAATTGATGGATCCGTCGGTCGTCAAGAACATCAAAAGTATGTGTTCAAGTTTCCCTGAAAAAGTAGTTTTCTAGTTGGTTTTATGTAAGGAAACTTTGTGAAGTTAAAAACTGTTTGTGTGCAAGCCAATTTCTGTTGAGAAATTACTAGATACAGCAAGTACTTCGTTAATTTCTCTTAGAAAATCACTTAGCTCACAAATATTTCAAACTAGAGGTGGTATTTAACATTTAGTTTATAAAACGTAAACATTGAATAAATAAGTAATACTTTTGACGTGCATGTGCTTGCTTATCAACCAAATTGTTATATTAAATAGTACGGTTGTTTGTATCTGTTTTGACAACGTTTGTTGGTTGATTATATATATATATATATATATATATATATATATATATATATATATATATCGTCAGTGTTAGTTTATATAATTTTATTTCAACACCTTAAATGTAACAATGTTTGCGTGAAATGTGTTTGCCTTCAATTATCATAGCTGCGACAGTTAACCGTATAAATACTGTGCAGCGTACATGTGAATTTTTGTAGTTTTACAATATCGTATTGTAAAACTGTATCATTATGTCGTATATTGAATAAATATATTGATATAAAGTTGAACTCTGTCTTAATGTTCAAATTCTGCTCTTTTTAAGGTTAAATAGCATTTGAGTTTTGTGCAACGTGTTGAGTTGAATTTTAGCTACATCTCATTTAGGCTTTTTCGGTGTTTGTAACTCATATGAAGAAACGAAAGACACTAGTATTGCATTAAGCTACTTATGATCAGGTGTTATGTGGTTAGTGTTTGTTTGCCTTGGATACTTGTGCGTCGAATAATAGTTGTATTTACAATCTTTTCTTTATTTATTACTTTTAACATTCGCTTAGCGTTGTAGTGGTTAGGACTCTCGCCGACCATGCGCATGGTCCGGGGTTCGAGCCCGCACCGACGCACATCTGATATCTATGGTCGGCCTGCAAAATTTGGGCTACCGAAAATTCCATACTTCTACCAAAAAGATACGCTGTCGAATCAAGCTGTAAATTCAAAATAAAAAAAATAAAAATAAAAGTCGGATACGAAGAACAGATTTTTTAAGTATCACAGTTGTTCTGTGAGGGCTAACAGTAATACCGAGTTGCTCAGATTTAAAGTATTTGCTGTAGGATTTGAATAAGACTGTTGTCCAATTACAAATATCTCACTCCTCATTCGTACCTACATGATTTAAATTGGATGTCAGTAATTTATTTCTTCCCTAGATAAGTGAATGAAGTGACCTCTTTCACTTATCTAGGGAGCATTGTCTCAACTACAGGAGGAGCGGACGAGGATGTCAAATCGAGAATCGGGCAGGCGAGAAACACATTCATCAACCTGAAATCAATCTGTAAATCTTCGTCACTCAGCATCAACAACAAAATCCAGTCGGATTTTCAATACAAACAACGTCAAATCAGTCAGTTCTATACGGATGAGAAACTTGGCGGGCGGGTCACAAAGAATAGTTCCAACAGCCTGTTGCAGACATTTATCAACAGCTGTTTTTGCTCTATACTGATGATCAGATGGCCGTAAAGAAACACCGACAAGAAACTATGTGAACAAACAAAGCAAGAACCAATCGCCCAACAAATATGCAGGAGAAAGTGGAGATGGATTAGACACTCTCTGAGAAGACCGCTGGGTGACATCGCGCGCCAAGCCCTCGGGTGGAACCCGAAAGGGAATCGGCACGTGGGACGTCAGCGCAAGGGTGACCTGGAGGAGATCGTGTGAAGAGGAGTTGAAAGAGTATGGACCATCATGACTGCAGGTGAAAAGTACAGCAAAAGACAGAAGTAAATGGAGACGTGCAGTTGAAGCCCTATGTTCCACCAGGAACCCAAGGGAACAATAATAATATAATTTATTTGTTTACATAAACGTTGATAAAATGTTATCATCTGCTGCCGTTTACTTCACTCATGTGGGTGTTTGATATGCATAGATTATTGTGCTTATTACCCAAATATTTCATTTGTCATTTGATCTGTTGATTTGTCATGCGTCTGTTTAGAAAATTAATGACATCTACAATATACATTGGATAGTCCTGGTTATATTAAACTAAAGAGTATAAAATTATATAGATCTTTAGTTTATAGTGGTTTAGATTGGTAGTTGAATGCTGTGGAAATAAATATGCATATGCATCTTGTTCTTGTATCTTGGCTATAGGAATATGTCCTGTGCCACTGATTGAAGATGAATAGATTATTAAATGGTAGGACTTGTTGTCAGTAATCTTTAATTACAGGAATATACTAAGTTATATACCCAAGACAATTAATAATTATTTATAAGATGCATTATAGAGCTGGTCTGTTTTGAGTATCATACAGAAATCTTGATTTTAAACAAAACAGTGTATAGTCATTTGTGTGCCGGTGGCATAGCGGTTAGGATGCTCGCCGACCATGCACATGGTCCGGGGTTCGATTCCCGGCCGACGCACTCCTTTACCTCGCTAAGCCAGAAATAAAGCTGATAAAGAGGAAAATGATGGGCTTGAGACTAGCAACCCCATCCTGTAAAAATAAACACTACTGCAGAAACTTCTAGCTTGAAGCCCTATGTTCCACTGGGAACGTGGAGGAATAAAAAAATAGTCATTTAGTAGAAAAACCGTGATTTATAGGATTGTTAACCCTTTTGGTACTTTTCGATCTGCAATTAGATTTCTTTTTAGTGATTCTTGCTTTCACCTAATAAATTTCGCTTAGTAAGTCTGCATACTGAGTTCAGCGCCGCAAGTTAGAATTGAGTATCTTTAGTAGTAACGTACAGTAGTATGCTGCGAATATCGAACATATTCTCCAATTCAGACTTTTCCTGAAAGTAGTAATAATAAATCAGAAGTAATAAGATGGATATTCGTGATTTTTAGTATTTGGAGGATATATCCAAATTTGCACCATTGTTCTCCGTTTTGAGCTTTCTTTCATAGTGTTTGGTTATAAATCTGAAGTATTTAGTTGAGACCAGCTGCTTTCATAATGTTATAAATTGGTGGTGCTATTTGGCATCGTATATATGAAAGTAGGTGATGGTTTGATGCACATAACATGTTCCAGTTACTGCATTTTAATGCGGGTTCAGAATCTGAGCCACTCAGTGTGAATGATGAAGCATGTCTACTGTTGTCCAGGCAAAGTGAAAAAATGAATGTAATCAAATGCATTTAGCCGCACTTCTTTCAGATCAACAGTTGTATGGTTGGACCATGTGAACTGCTGTTCTGTACGTACAACTCATGATACTTGGTTAAGTGAAAAGTTATAATATATGGAGTAATTTTATTGTATATAATCACATACCGGTAATAAGCTTTTTAAAGAGTTATAGTGTTTGCCAGTTATAATCATTATCAGAACCTGAACGCTTCGCTTTATGTTTGATTTAGTTATTTGCTGTTTCGATGCATAGTTTCCGGTTTAGAAAAAAGAATGATCTGTAGTGGTTTATACATGCTTTATAGTATAACATACAAATTATGAGTTACGACTCATCTCATCAAACTAAGGACAACTGCAATTTTGTGAAATTTTGATCATGAGTGGGTTTCTTTTCTGAAATAAGTATTTTATGGCCTTGTGAACGATTCATTTACTAAAATAGGTGAATCCAACCTTCCTAGCAAATTTGGAAGCTGCCGGTGTATACTTTGGTCCAGAGGGTCGCTTTGGTCGTGGAGGAGCTATTGCACACAATTCAACAGGCAGTGGTTGGTCGTCTCTGCCTTGGCCTATTCAAGGTGGTCATGCTCTGATTAATGGGTCTCGACTGTCCACCAGCTCTCTAGGTGGAAATATCTTGTATACAGATGATTTACTTCTTACTGGGCATGAAGATGGTTCTGTTGCATTTTGGCGCCTTAGTGCTGGAGGCTGTCTCAGACGTATTTATACACTACACACAGCTATTTTATTCGAAGATGTCAGTCAATTGGTGAGTAATGGTATGGAATATTTTGTTTTTATAAACTCTTCAGCTTCTTTGTGGCTCAAAGTGATAGTCCGTAACTGACAACTGTCGCAAAGATAGTTATCGCAACTTATAGTTAGGCACGCTGCTGGATATAGGTACTTTTTGTACGCCAAGGTTTTTGTTCAAATTCATTTTCTCTTAAGTGGTAATCCCGCTATACATATATATATTCTTGATTGTAGTGTAGGTGTACGAGTTTCCCTATATAAAGGGAAATGTATAGTTTTGGGGATAATACAGTGATTATTGGTAGGGAAGTGAATATCTTTTCGTGACAACTCGTTTATTACTTGTATAGAATTACAATAAACAGACTAAGATATTGATGCAGAAGTCTGGATATAAGTGCTTCAGTTCAAGTCACCCTATTTTTAAGAAGCATAAAGTCAGAGAGAAATTTGATTTCACTATACCAGACAATCATGGACATGATGAAAAAAATAATTCCATAATGATTCGTGAAGATCCTCAGGATTCGGGAGTTGACAAGCTGTGAATGCATCTCCAAGATTATGGACGATATTATTAAGCCATTACACAAAAAGTTTCCAATCACTGATTATTGATATTCAGAGGACTCCAGTCAGACAACACAAATTTGCATGTGTAGCTTAGGATAACGGTTTTCGATTGACATTGTGCAAACCAACTCCAACCTATGTGCCCCCATAATCGATTTGAAAATAACATATACAGGTATGTTCGGATTTTGACTCAGAGCCTTCTGAGGATTCTTCATTTTTTCACCGTTTTCGCAAGAAAGAAGTACATCACCCGCTTTCTGTGTTCTCCTTTTTCTTGAATAATTTGGATGAAGTCGCAGAGATTCATATGCTTTTGTTGCAGATTGTTGACTGTCTTCACCAGGCATAGTTTAGTTGTCGTGCATATATAAGAGTTTGGTTACTTCATTGCTTATTAAACCAATTATTATTTTTAAAGAGCCGGATATATAAGAACTCTGCAGCTACTTTTGTTCACTCATTCAGTCGTAGGTGAACGCATGGACAGAATTATGCGGAGTGAAAGCCCCATAGGTTTTCAAGAAGGTGAAGCAATATTTACTAACCTCCCAACTGATAATGTCTCTTCTGTTTTCGGAGTTAGTGCTAGCCAGGTAATTTGATTAAGATTGTAAAAGAAGATTGCCAGTGTCGATACGTTTGTATGAGACTTCATGAATATTTCCAATATACTTTTCCGACTGCAATAAATTCCTTGCTTGAAGACTAAAGTCATTCGTATAGCCGACTGTATTTGAGGATTTTGTCTTTAACAGTAAAGTAGACAGCTTTGAACGAAACATATTCTTTATATATCATCAAATTGCAATCAGTGACTGTGTAAATGAAAATGAAATAATCTTACCTTAGTTCTATTATAGTGAATAAGTTAAGAACCAAAGTTTAATTCAAAAACCTATTTATTTAAAAGCACTAGTGAGTATCAGGATATACTTTTATTCTTACGGAACAATTCAGTCATAATGTTTTATAACGGCCTTGGGGGAAATTTACTAATTTCGCTACGTGTTGGAATATACAACCACATCTAGGTCTTGCGTGTTTTTCTTAGCGATTCCACACCTTCCAAGATCAAATACATAAGGTTTTTAACTAGTGAGGTCTAAAGTCTGTTTTGCATTACCTTCGAATCTTTAAAGTTCGAATATGGAGCTGACAGCGTTGTCTGCAGATACTATGAATGGATGTTTCTTTGACCCCAGTTACTAGAGATGATCGCAGGATTATGAGTTGAAGACACTGTCTGGTGAGTAGTATTATTATTAGATTGAAATCGCATGGATAGAGTAAATGATGTTTGTGGCCGTAATATGTATATTTTTTTCAGTGAAGGTGTTCCCTTACAATTTCTGACTGTGAAGAAAATGTCAGTAAAAGAGGAGTTGCTAGTTAATTTAGAGTATACAGACAATAAAATTCTTCTTGCTAAAGACGCTGAAAAAATACTAAGGTCTTTTATGAGGTGGAAACGGTTTATATAGTATGCTAGGCTTGCAGTCAGTGCCTGTCAAGTATAACACAATTTTATAGGATTGGTCTGTGCTTTTTGGTTTTGGTTTAAGGAGTGATTCAGCTGAATATCTTTCATTCGTTCGACAATGAATCGCATAATATGTAATGCTGAATATTTTTATCTGCTTATACTGTAGCTGATAAAACAATCCTGAACATCCAACATCTTAGTCGTTGAAAGAAGGGGTACTGTTCTCGGGTGGACAGCCATTGTCTTCATGAAACTGCAACGCTTGCTCGAATGCCTGTTGAAAAATCGGGCTTGGCAAAACTATAAAATGTCCTAATTTCATGGGCCTCTAGTTGTTAGCTTCATTTGTATTTTGGAACTTAAGATATTCGACTGAAGACTATGTGGAAAAGAAGAAACTGAGAGTATTGATGTGTTCTTTTAAAATAGGTCCTCGTCTATACCTATACATCGGTAGACATTACACTTTTAAACAAAATGTAATCTGTCAACCTCTTGGTGATAAGATTTTTAACAATCATTCGTCATCACTGACATCGTAAATACCTACCCACTGAAATTCGAATCCTGGACCTACTGGTTACAAGGTGATTGGATCGGGTCACAGTGGCTTAATGGTCTACGTGCTGGCCTTAAAACCAGGTTCTGGATTCGAGTCCTGGTGGGTGCATGAGGAAGAAGAATCCTAAACTGGGACGAAATGGCTTTCCAGTACTTTCAGATTTTCCAACAGTTCTCTTACCGATGTCAGCTCATGATGAAATTCTCCAGTCAATCAAAAAAATCCCTACAAACCCTTACTTGATAAATGGTAAATAACCAATAAAATTAGAATAACAGTTATATCATGCAGTCATAAAAATTGAAACATATGGTTATATTATGCTTACTACTTTTCTCAATCCGTCTTTTAAATGTTGATATTAAAGTACATGACAAAAGGGGTGGCTGCGTAAGTAATCTGAATGACACGGGTCACGTGTCTACATTTGCTGTTTCTCTGTTCATGTCTTACCTTAATCACTTGATTTTTTTCTTTGCTCGCTGCATGTTTTGGTGCGACGATGCTGTGCCGATTCAGATTATTTTACAATCCCCTCTTGAAATTATCGATATCTTTACCCCTCCAAACTTCTGTCACTTGGATGAATTTCAATACTAGTCATTTATTTATACCAGGAAATTTCACTAAGTAATTTGGGGAAATAGACTATTTGAATTATATTCATGTTTAAACTTCACCATTGTTTGTCTTCATTGTACTTTCTTCATTTTATGTGTTTACTTTAGGATCATACAAATGGAGTTGATGATGAGGGTGAATCGTCATGGCCCCCATTGCGTCAAGCTGGCGTGTTTGATCCTTTTATGGACGATAGTAGAGTCGCTGTACAGTTCGTTTATCTCTGCGATAATACAGTAGTTGTTGGGGGAGCTGCAGGACAGGTAAGGCATATGTATATATATGTTTTGGCAATTCTCCTAATTCAGGGTATTTTTCGGTACTAATCAATATCATGTAGAAAACCATTGGGGTATATTTTTCCTTGTATTACCATTAGGCAACACATTAGAATATATAGTTTATCTTCTAATAATGCTATCCAAATTCTTTTAAGGGACATCGCCTTGTATTCATTTTCCGATTGTGCACAATTCCTCACGTAAATCAAGTGTATCGTTTCTTTAATATGTGCAAAAAAGCCTACCCACCTACCTGTCTAATTCTTTTATTTATGCATGGGGTCACTATTACTTTCAACACATATCATCTTGACAATTTTCGCGTTATCGACTATGTTTACACCAGCGGGATAATAATGAGACAGAAATATGTATTCATTTTTTTTCCTCATAAGTCCTACGTCTTTTTTATCTCTCCCTCATCCTTTCATTCTATTCAGGGGATTGATTAACTTGGGTACCTTTATGTATATACAAGCTTCATGATCTATTTCTCTCATGTTTTTACAACTTTATTTATAGTGTTCGCATAATATTTTATCTACATATTGTTATGCTAATTTTTGCCTTTTGAAGTCAATTTGCAATTCTTATTCTTCCCTGTGTGTTTATATGCATACGTGTGTATTATTATAGGATGCACTTATTTTAGACAATCGATGAATGATGTCATACCACTTGGACGAATCAGAATTTCATTTTGTCTGTGTGCTTTATGAGTAAGCTAAGCAAACTTGTCCTGAAGTACACTGTAAACTACAGGATATGTTAATGTCCTGTCATTAGTAGTATACTTTTATTAAAACTGAATGTTGTGATTTTTTTTTGATTACAGAAAGAACAAACACATTCATAGGTCCCATCATTTCTGGTTTTTATGTTGATCCGTATTGTTGCAAACCACAAACATGTCGTCAACTTACCTCCAGTGATAGGCAGTGCTTTCTATCCAACTTTATTCGTGTCTATTCAGGATGAGCCATGAATGTGTCCGCAAAAACAGGACCCAAACGTGAACCCATGTCACCGCGTCAATCTGCCGGTACAACTGGTTGATGAATCGAAACTGAACGTTCTATGTGTAAAGAAGTAGTAATATTCCTAGCTCCTTTTCAGGAAGAGGAAGTGGTTCTGATTGCAGGCATATGATTCTCACTTTCTTTTCACTAGTCTCACTGTCACTGTATGCTAGTAAATACTGAACAAACATCATAAGATACGATAAGTTTGTCGGAAATATTCATTTGGTCTAATTTTTTTAAGAAGGAAGGAACCCTTGATGCTTTGGAGTGCCAACTTTTGTCTAATTAGTTAGAACTTCTATACCAGCCACCTAGCCAGTCTATGGTATGGTGATTTCACCACTGACATTATAGGTCTCAATGGCTCATCAAATTTGTGAACTTTGGATAGGCGTCAATCCCTTGCTTTGAATTTATTCCTAGACCTCAACACAACAAAGAAGAAATAATGAGACCTGAAAGTATGTTCGTTCTTTCTTCATTCAAACTAATGAAGAAAACCGGCTGTCTGAAATTCTTGAAACGATGTTCTGATATTGTTTTGAAAAATTTGTATTTCGTCCAATCGATTTCGCCAGATGTTTATTTCGTGAATGAATCTTGGACTTTATACTTTATCAAATTGTATAGTTGGAATACTTCAATATATATTTATTACTTACTTAATGTTTATTGCTTACATTAAAAGAGATTTAAAAAAGCCACCATCTAATTTCGCTTTGCAGCAGAAGCAAACCTTGTATTTTGTTGATGAAAGCACCCGTTGAGCTTTGATTTAGACTACTTAATACAAACATTGAAATACTGATTGTTTAATTCAGTGAAATATGTTAGCTGGTCAGTATGTCTGGAGTATCTAGTCTTAGTAAAGTGAATTAGTAAGGAGCTTTTTCTTGGTATATTTGTGTTAAAGATTATTAAGGCTTTTTTTTTCTCAATTTTGCTGGACATTAACTTCTCTTAATAGAATTCCTAACTTCTATGGATTAAAGTATATAAAACCTTCTATCGGATAGACTATTCATTTGAGTGAGTTTAATATGAGATTAGAAGTGTTTTTAGTTTTGCTGCTAATATAATACATTCTGATAATGAAACGTTCAAAAACAATTATCAGAGCCAAGAAGAGGTTCATGAAATATCTTTTGCTTAACTACCATAACATTAGATGCCGCTCAATCTACTGTTTCAGTCTGAGAGTGCAGACAGTCTGGTGGATACCCAGAAAATATATTCCCTAATTCATTTGTTTGCCAATTTGGGATTCGTGTATCCGATGAAAAAGGTGTTCAATTAAGTGTTCGGATTTCAGAATTTCATCATGATCTGACATTGGTTAGAGAACCATTCGAAAACCTGGGAGTACTGGACAGCTGTTTCGTCCTAGTTTAGGACTCTTCAGTAGTAGGCACCCATCGGGTTTCGAACCCAGGGTCCTCTTGTTACAAGGCGAGCTCTAGTGTGAAGTCGTGACCAGTAGGGTGCAGCAGGTCGGATGTGAGTACAAATACTCACCGAAGACATTGGCTAGGGGTTGCGCTATGTCATGAATTGGGAGAAGTTAGAATTCATGGGCTGGCCATTGGGTCGGGTCCCAGTGGCTTAATGGTATACGAGCTCACCTTGTAACCAGAAGGTCCTGGGTTCGAATCCGGCTGGGCGCGTACTGCTGAATAGTCCCAAACTTGGACAAAACAGCTGCCCAGTACTCCTAGGTTTTCCAACAGTTCTCTAACCAATGTCAGCTCATGATGAAATCTTGAAACGAGTCAAATCCCTACAAAGCTACACTTGAAAGTGTTTGGATTATTTTAATCAGTTAGTAGGCGTCGAGCTTTATCCTTTATTCATCACTGGAATTACAATAATGTAATGGATAGCGCTAGAATGTGTTCACTGGTACAATTACTGCCGGCCTAATTGAGATGTTGCATTCTGAAATAACTTGATACATTGAGATAATGTTTTTGTAAATTATTTGCGACTGATTCTTTTTTTCTATCTAATACTAACTGGACTGTAAAATTTTGTATTTACGCTGTACAAATGAATGTAAGCGTAGCATACAATTGCTTAATTTGTTTGCTCTGATCTGAATAATCTTATCGGTTAACCAGTTTCATCACATAGATTAAAGATTAAAACAAATTAGAAACTATAAGCACTAAACAAGTAGTAGTACTCATAGTTATTGTTTAGGCTCAACTGAAATATTTTTAAAATTTTGTAAAGATTGATTTAACACTTGTCTACTTTGCTTCACATCTTATTTTAATTGGTAATTATAATTACCATGCTGGTGAAACTCATATACATATACGCCCAATGTAACTCTTTCTCTTTCTTTAGGTGATTGTATATCAATTTCTCAATCTGATGCCATGTATTGAACCTGTAACTGTACCAATTAAGAAATCAATGCCTGGATTTCAATGGAAGGGACATGCTCCTCTTACGGTAAATATTTATAATTGAGTTTTCTCTGAAGTATAGTTTGATTTATGATGAAATACATACGACTTTTGATATCATTGTTTATTTGAACATTCAATCGATTTTATCTTTTATACGTCTTCTTCAGCTTGGGATCTCATTGAGTGTTTCAGTGGGAATTTGTTTTAGTAGTACTTTTCAATTTAGTAAGTATTTAGTTAGTATATTATTTTATTCAAGCTGTTCAATCTGTTATTTTTAATCCCTTGATATGGTGCCATGTTTACATTATTGTCTTTTAAGAATTTTCTTCAGAGATGTTCGTTATTCGTTTCCCTTAGCATTATATTTTGGGGAGATGTGTGGCTCATTGGTTTACACACTCAACTTCCAACTACTGGATCATGGATTCAAACACTTTCACCTACTGAGGTAGTGTCGTCAGGCCTTGCCGCAGTAGAGTGCGGCCCATTGTCAACTGAATTGAATGGAAATGCAAATAGTTGTTCAGTGACACTTTTACATTCCCATTTTTGTATACCGTAAGAGAAAATATGCGAATAGCTTACATGCGACTAGTTTTCGGTTTCAATTCAAGACTGATTGGGTTGTATTAAAGCACTTGAGTTGCCGACGGAATCTAAATTCACCTTTCGACTCTGCTAATTGCCTGCAGCACACACAACAGTTGCAGGAATTCAAATGCTTTTTATAGTTCTATTTTACTATCAAGATAAAATCGTCTGGTGTATCTAAAGACCCATCACATCATAAAGGTGAATGTTGATTTTGAATTTGGTTTTCCCTATATATATATATATATATATATATATATATATATATATATATATATATATATTGAAAATTGAATTATACTGATTATCCAAACGTGAAGCAGATAGTACAGAATAGATTTTTTTGGTAGTTGACAAATTCCAATAAAATCTCGAATCATTAACAATTTAAGGCATGCATTCAAAGTAAACCTCAACTACCAGTCACTATGATTTTTTTTCCGATGAATTTTCAAGATATTATTCTAAACACTTTTATCATATGGCTGTTTTTTATTCTGTGACTTCACTTTATTTTTTTTTTTTATAGATAATTCATGTTTATTTAGAGTGTGTGCATTTTTCTTTGCTAAATTTTAGCTCAGGTCATGTTTTAGTAACAGTTGTAGTGTTACTTCAGCACCGACAACACAACCACCTCAGCTACAGCCTATTGCAGTTATATTCGTGCAACCTCCTGCCCGTATAACTTCTCTTCTCTTGAGTGAATTAGATTTATCTCATATCAAAGAGATTAATCAAGTCTCTACGAATAATACCAATAATTTCCCAGTTTTACTTGCACTTGGTACTCCCCACGGTTTCGGTGTTATATTTGTGCCCAAATTTCTATCTAATAACAGTATGGATTCACAAAAACCAATTCCACCGCAAGCACTTCTTGCGGTGTCAACTATACCTGATAACGTCGATGCTCTTCAAGAGGCTGCTGCTGGTGAAGGTTGGGCAAGACGTCGTACACGAGAACTTAAGAAGAGTCTTCGTGATTCATTCAGACGTCTGAAAAGAGTACGGTCAACTAAGTCAAATGTTCAACTAACTGCACCAACTTATGTTCCTAATACCAGTCGAGCTGGCATACGACGCACTGTTACCCAAGTGAGTAATTGACTAATTCAATGAGTAATCCATAAACACTGACTAATTATTTGATGGTTATAGATTAGAGTTCATAAACAGTATACTTTATATTATGTTACTTGGTATATGATATTTGCAGGTGAGATTGTGTTTCATCCTTCTCACTCAATACGGAAAGTCGTGCTTTTTATTTTATTTAAAACACAAAACGTGGTACAATATAAGCATCAAGAATATGCACCACACAGTACTAATGAAACACCATTTGAAAAAAAAAGTGGAGAACGAATGAGGGAAGGAATAAGGACTTCATCTGCGAAGAAAGCAGTTACATTTAACAAGACCAAACCTCATTCGTCAAATCAGTTTCAGAAAGGGAAGACAAGAGCGAATCGCAGCACATTTGTCATTGATTGCAACTCTTAACCATATCCGACAGCGCTTTGAGCTACCGATTCGAGCTATCTCTCCGACTATAACGAGGGAGTAGTGATGTACCATCCGATGCTAGCCTACAACAAACATCCTCTATCCCACAACGCCGTATCATAGGCTGACCACCTCTCCGCCTTTTCTGTCCCATCCCTGGGCGAGGGAACAAAGACCCGTACGGAGGCTTCTAGGACGACACTCTATCAACATTTCCAAACCACTGAAGCCGATTTTCCCAGATGACGATATTCAATGGATGGTGGTCTTCACTGTGTCTAAACACGTGCTGCTACACCTCAGAACTGTCTGTCTGTCTGTTTTCGACATAGAGCATTGCACATTTGTGCGGCAGTTCAAGTTGCCACATTCCATGTAGCACACAAAGAAATAGAAGAAAGTAGAAAAAATGCATAATAGAAACAGTAAACAGAGGTGTGAGACAAAGGAATAGTAGTAACGGAGAACAAAACAATTTCATTGGAAATCGTAAGCCACAAGGAGTGGATGCATCTTCGCCAGACATTGAGAACGATTTTGAGCCATGTCACCGACTGTCTCCAGCCATTGGTTTTAGTCGTCCCGAGGACCCCAACTAGGAATTCTATACATTCCTACGTGACTGGCTTAAACTAACTGTTGTGGATTCCATTGACTGGTTCCATGTTTTGGTTTGACCGCCGCTAACTATTTTCCAGTCTGATCCATCCTGTCACTTAACATTACCCATTGTCGAGGAAGGCGATGACTAGGCATAAGTAACACATCTCCTAACCATCTCAGTCGATGTAATTTCACAGCCTCGTTGATTGATTTCACCTCCTTACCTAGCATTCGACGCCTAACCTCAATATTGCTCACGTCATCATACCACTTCACACGGGAGATAGAGCGCAGTCACCTATGATCAAAGACAGCTAACCAGCCTTTTCATGTCTTCCACTCTCAACGGCCTGGTCTCACAGCCATAAAGGAGGATGGAGCGGACTGATGAGCAGTACACCCGCCCTTTGGTCGATAGTCGAACATCTCGTCTATGCCAGAGACGGTGTAAACTGGCATATGCGAAGCTAGCCCTCTGTGTCCGTGCGAAGATTTCGTCAGAGATCAACCTGTTGGTGCTGGCTGATGGTACTTCCCAAGTAAGTGAAACGGTCAACGTGCTCTACCACTTAACTCCCTATTTCTAATCTAGGAGTCAGTGTTGTCCAGTCCAGTCCTGTGACATCATCTTGCATTTGGCGGGAGCGAATCGCATGCCAAACATTCGTAGATTGCAGCTCAAGGTGTGTAGAAGACTGCATTTTTCCGAGTCCTCGCCTAGTAGGACTATATCGTCTGCATATTCCAAGTCAGCGAGATTATTCCCTGGTAGCAAGTCAATCCCTGAATCGCTGAAGTGAGTTACGGTTAAGTCCATTAGTACATCTATGACGAAGTTGAATAGAAATGGGGATAATCGGCATCCATTACGGACACCACTAGTCGTCACCAGTTCAGATGACAGCTCGCCGTAAGCCCTCACCTGGCTGTATGAGTACGAGTAGAGTGCCTTAATCAGTGCAATGTATTTTCTCGGAATTCCCTTTACAGCCAAGCATCTCCAGAGAACTTCTCGGTCGACAGAGTCGAATGCTGCCTTTAGGTCAAGAAATATAATGGCTGTTGGACGCCGGTAGGAATGCGTATGTTCTAGAATCTGTCGGAGGGTGAAGATATGATCAATACACCCTCTTCCTGGTCTAAAGTCTGCCTGGCTTTCTCGTGTTTGTGCCTCCTGAGCACCACTCAATCTACGCAATATTATTGAGCCTAGGACTTTAGATACTATATTAGTCAAGCTAATCCCTCTGTGATTATCACAGGAAGACTTGTCTCCCTTCTTGTATATGGGGATAATCAATGGTTTACACCAACCCGATGGGACTTCTTCTGATTCCCAGACGCTGCCTAGTACCTCAGTGAATGCAGACAGTAAACTGTCTCCACCTTACTTGAATACCTCTGGAGTGATTCCATCAGGTCCTGCTGCTTTGCCTAGTTTCAGATTGGTGACAGCTTTAGTAACCTCAGTTAGGGATGGAGGAGCTGTGTCTATATCCCATTCAGGGAGGTGTTGGATGTTCGGAAGGTTGAGCGTGGCTGTGGGCGAATTAAACTGCTCCTCATAATGCTCTTTCCAGCGATCCAGTCGTCTAACCTGGGAGGTAATTATAGTGCCATTCTTCTCCGAGATTGTTTCACTAATGATTTGTCTTCTCCCACCCGTTTCCCTGATGAGTCTAAATAGTTGCCTGGTGTTTTGTCTATCCTCGAAGCTTTCTCCATCTCTTTGGCTTTTGTCAGCCACCACTGTTCACGGTCCTTTCGGAGACTTTTCGTAAGTTTCTTTTTGTGCAGCTTTCGCTCCTCATTGAATTCGGAGCTCGCCGGAATAAGTCTTCTAGCATCATTCAGTTCGGATGAGGCGGTGGAGATCCAATGGTTTTACTCACCGTTGGGTTTACCTATCAAGTGGAGGAGTTGCATCAATGGAAGGAAGGCAAAATGATAGAGATGAAGATGAAGACAAAGATGAGTGAGGATTAGAGAGGTTTCGCGTGCGTTTCGGATTGTGAGGGCGATTGTTACTTCCCGGCTGTTCACACCGTGGAAGTATGGTTGCGTGACCACAGAGCCCAGGAGACAACTGCTTGGGGCCGATCACACGCGGTCTGCTTTTGTTTGTTCTTTGTTGTTTGGTGTGCCTCAGTAGCATATTTATCACTCCTGCCCTGTGACACGGCAGCAGGAAGCGCGGTCGTTGTTAATCCGGGCCCCGACCTATCCGGCATGATATTTTGTGAGTTTCTTTGTATCATAGTGTTGGATTGGGTAGCTGCTTTTTGTTTAACCGCTATCCAAACAACCTTTCTGGCATGGTAGGACTTCAAGAGACATAAGTCTCAGCCAGTATAGCTTGTTGGGGCATTGCGGTGTTCAAGCCCAACCACCACGTCAAGGTAGCAGCTTTCGGTTGGCTAATAGGTGGCATTGTCATGGGGTCAGTTGTTGAATGAGGTTGACAAAGACTTGAGGCGCGCCGTAGTGTTACAGTACATAAACGACTGTTTTTGGATATCCAGTCGAGCAGTGCAGCTTCGGTTCTAGTGCATAGTGTGACATAGTCTTCGGACAAGCGCAGGTGATGCTGTTTGAACTTCCAGATGGAGAAGATATTCGAAGCACTTCACTGAGGTCTTGAAGCGGGTCTTTGCAATGCAGCAGATGTCGATAGCAAGGCTCTCCAGTGTTTTACCAGATCTTACTGTTGTCCGATTTGCATCAGTGTCCGAAAATTGTTGGTGAGAACCTCGTGCTCAACACGCGGTTTCAGGATGTCTGTGTTAGATGTCGCACTGAGGACTACCATTTTTAAGACTCCTCACTGACATCTGAAAACGGTACTGATATGCTGAGAACTTAAACAAATGTGAGGCTGGCGAAAGTGAAGATACCAAGGATAGCAAAAGTAAAACATAAAACTCTATGTATAAAAATAATGTTAAAAAGAAATGTCACTTTAAATATGATTAGTATTCGAAAGCACTGGAATGAACGTGCGATTAGTTTTACTCATAGTGTAACGACAGAAGACAAGGGCCTTGAAACATATCGTTTATTAAGGAAATCAACAGGTATTTATAGATTTTCATGTAGATTATCATACATTATAGTTAGCAGAAAAACAGAGTCATTTGATTGGTGATGTCTCGCTGAACGTTAGACTTTCATCTCTTTGTGGCCTTTTCTTGAAGTCCAGATTATCTATCTGCAAATTGTAATCCGCCTACGCAAAGTCTGCTGTGATTGGTTGTTGAATCAGTTTTTGTTCTTATTTTGCTCTCGACTTAGTGTCACATCCACAAGGCAGTGGAGCAGCATCAGGTTCTATGTTCCCATGGTCGCCAGTGACCAATACAGGTTCATTCGCCATTCTATCCGATTGCGTGCTGGAGTCCATGTACCCCGTAGTAACTGCTTTTAGTCTAGTCTGGTGTACTAAGACCTTCGGGAACCGAATTCTCAGCTAGTGTAGCTTGTTGGGTCGCAGCGGTATGCAAGGCCAACCAGTACAACAAAGTAGCAGATACCAACTGGGGTAAATTCATACTACAAGTATCATTGGTAGTATTGGTCTTCTGTAGGGATTGTGTTTGATTGCTTGGAGGGTTTTATCATCGAAATTTGAGGAGCAATAAAACTATCGAAGTAGTTATTTTGTTTGAAAACGATTTATATCCAAATTTCATATATTAAGGTAGTTTTCAATCGTCAGTCGACATAAGTTTAGTACGCTTACTGATAGTACGAATTTTCTCATGTAGTGACATAACAATGAATTTGGGGGCAAATAAAGCACCAGATGAAGGTAGATACATTTACTAGAGCAATTATGGAATAATTTAATCAGTATTCAATCGATAGTTGAAAATAGATTTGTCCATCAGTATTAAGTATATTTTGAGTTAATTTATGTCTTGATGAGATATTCAGATAGGTGGACTAACATTTTCAGCGTAAAACCAAAATTTAGTCCGTAACAATCAAAACTAGCATACTATATTTCCATACTGAGAAGGAAGTTTTATGAAGACAAGAAAGGAAATATTAACCACACTCATTTATGGTAGAATGTAATATATCAAGAAAGACAAGGCGTATTGAAAATTCTGTTATTACAATTAGGAGTGAAGAAGTATGAATACATTCGCGATCTTTTGATGTATGTCACTCCTCGTCTCCAGCCGCGGATCTTAGTTATCTCCCAGTTAAGCGGTGTATACGGCCAAGGCCAGCAGTTAGTAACTTCATAGATTTTTGCTAAGTTTAAGTGGTAAGCAAGGTGGAACATTTGTAATTCTTTTTGTGTATTTGTGAGTGCGGCAATAATTTTTCATAATCGTTTAATTCTGTCTCTACTTTGTAGTCTAATCGTCCTGCTGCAAATCAAACTGATGCAACTCCCCTTGATGAAGCTGAAAGACGTAGTGGACGTATTGCAGATGAAAATATACAGTTGATATCACAATACAATGTTGAAAGGGAAATATGTGATCGTGCTCAGGATTCTGCTGGTGTAGCTATTGTGTCTTGTTTTGCATTTGGTCCCTCGTTATTCAAGTCGGGTTCTTCAAATCCTCGTCCAACACTCCATCCTATCGCCAGTCTTTTTGTCGGTACTAAGGCTGGAACTGTTAAAGTATATTCTATCTTCGCTGATAAAACTTCGAGCACGTCTGATCATCCTAAGCTTCATCTTTATTATTCTCGCGAACTTGTTCTAAAGCATCGTGCACCTGTTCTATCTCTTCGTCTTGTAGACACTAAGACAAATATACCTTTCTCACTATCAGGTACGTTGATCTCAGAAACATTCATTGTCTTGACAGATTTCGGTAGAATTTCAGTTGTCATTCTATCTCACAAAAATAAGGAATAAATCAAACGCGTGCTTCTGCTAGTATTCGGTTTCCTTGGTAATACTCTCATTGTTTAGAATGAGTTGTTTGTTAGCTAAATAATGCAGGTGGAGATAGTTGTTTAAGACATTAGTATACTCGCAGTAGACGTGTCTGTTTGTGGTAACTTAGTAACTAAAATTATATGGTTTAAGATTCAGCAAAACATGACTGAAGATTGGTCATGCGTATGTCCGCTCTGTATCACTATCCCAATCTTGAAAGTTTTCACTTACTTTCACCTAGTGTAAATATTACATATTTTCTTTCATAAAAAATAGTTGTTTCCTTATTATGTTATTTCGTTTCTGTCTATTTGTATTGTGAAATGTACCACAACTTGGACTGGTATGCTTCTGTGTAGCACTCCATTAAAGTTAAAATTATCTACAGAATAGTTTGTACCGCCCAAAAACTTTCACGATGAGGTATTTACAAATAATTCGAGTTTGCCTTTAAATGATATCACCAGCATGCTAATGTGCGTCGGTAGCACAGTGGTTAGGATTCTCGCCGACCATGCACATGGTCCGAGGTTCGAGCCCTGGCCGACGCACACCTGATATCTATGGTCGGCCTGCGAAATTTGGGCTACCGATATCCATGCTGAAAATTCCATATTTATACCAAAAATACAGTGTGGAATCAAGCTGTAAATAAAAAAAATGGTCCCAGGTTCAATCCCCTGCCGACGCACACCTCAGCCTGCAAAATTTGGGCTACCGATATCCATGCTGAAAATTCCATACTTGTACCAAAAATACAGCGTGGAATCAAGCTGTAATCAAATAAATAAATAAAAATAAAAAAGTAATCATTATATATCTGCTCTCTTACTTCATATGCTCTTTTCCAACTTGTGACACAGTTCCATGCAAGGTTCTATGTCGATTCACAAGTCAATCATTATTGCGTTTCTCTTAAATATATTCAGGGCATTTATTTATTTTCTTTTTTACGTGTTTTCAAATTTTTCAATGCTCAGTGTCAGTTATCGAATCTTTAAAAACACGGTGATACAAAATGATTCAGATTAATTTTTATTCCATTCTGTCATAACATAATCGGTTATAGGACTTGAAAGTGAGAGAAATCAAAACTAGTGAGGTCGTAAATTTATGTTAGTTGCTCTCCAAATGGTAGACAGTGCAACTATTTTAGTTTTGAGTATAGCGCTAGTTGATACAACACTAGTTTACTGTGATAAACGAATTTATTATCCAAAAAGGTGAGATATGCCTGGTGTGTAACCCTCCAGTAGCTAGTACCTAATACATCATCTGAATTCCTTAGGAAGGGTAAACTATGGGTGTATTTTATGCTGTCTGTCTACGACAGTCTTGCCGTCTACTCCCCTACACTAAAGCGGAAAAGCTTATTGTTTTGATTAAACTGTCTGGTTTTAAATACGAACCAAGATATAAAGCTCTCTGACTGCAGCAGTAGACGAGTCTGGTTGGAGTCTCCATATGGACTTTAATACCTTAGAGTCTTCAGATAAGTTTAGCAGACCAATGCCACGTCTTTGACTTCGTGGCGTCTGCCACCATCTATCGAAAACAATAATGTCTAGATATAGCTAACTGGCTGAAGTGTTCATCTACCACCCAATGGGTTCCCCAGATCGGGAGCCTACGTATCTACTTTAGCATAAGAAGCTGGGTATTATTATAAGCCCTGAAACGTTAAGTGGGCCTATTAGTCCAGTGTCTGTCTGTCTGTTTTCGACATAGAAATTTGCACGTATGTGCGGCAGTTCAAGTTTCCACACTCCATGTAGCACACAAAGCCCGACCGAAAGCTGCTACACCGCAATGCCCCAACAAGCTATACTGGCTGAGACTTATGTCTCTTGAAGTCCTACCATGCCAGAAAGGTTGTTTGGATAGCGGTTAAACAAAAAGCAGCTACCCAATCCAACACTATGATACAAAGAAACTCACAAAATATCATGCCGGATAGGTCGGGGCCCGGATTAACAACGACCGCGCTTCCTGCTGCCGTGTCACAGGGCAGGAGTGATAAATATGCTACTGTGACACACCAAACAATAAAGAACAAACAAAAGTAGACCGCATGTGATCGGCCCCAAGCAGTTGTCTCCTGGGCTCTGTGGTCAGGCAACCATACTTCCACGGTGTGAACAGCCGGGAAGTAACAATCGCCCTCATAATCTGAAATGCACACAAAACCCCTCTATTACCCACTCTATTATTCCAATACGGGTAACTAGGATCTAAGTAACTAACTGACTAAAAATACTTCACTGTATGTTCGTAAATCATTGCATCCAGTCTTTAAGGTGTTTTTCATGTCATTGTCTTTATCGAATAATTTATAATTTAACGTATTTCATTGTTTCACCTATAAGGAATTCCTGTTTTTTGTAGGTATTTGTGTTCTGTTTGTAGTTTTAGTTCTCATCAAATTCATGACTGCTTTTCTTTTTGTTTCTATTTCTCTCTGCCTTTTTGTTATCTACAAACAGATTTCAAACTTCATGCGAATGATGCTAGCAAAACTTATACTCTTCCTGTCCTATCAGTTGTCAGTGAAGAACAAATTCGTTTGTTTAGCTTGCCTAATATACATTTGAAATATAAAGCTCGTATAACAGCTACTGATGGGTATCGCATTAAATCAGCCTCACTGATTGGATTTAAAGTACATGGGAAGACTAATCCATCGCTATCAAAAGAATCCAATGGTAAGACATTTCAAGTTTTTTGCAAATAATAATTACAAGTTATTTTAAATTTTCTTTTGTCTCTGGCGTTATTCTTTCTTCACTAAATTATTTATTTCTATAACATCTCCACGTGCTATTGTTGTAGCTGACTCTGCCTGTGGTGACATTGACCGTTCATTTGCCAGTGGAATGTCCGTAACTTCTCATATAGATCAAAACTGTGAATATTCGTTTGTTTTCACAAATGTTGGTGGTCAAGCTGTTGTTCTCAATATGCCACAACTTCGTCGACAGGATACTTTACACCTACTGGATTCTCATGACGTTGTTGCAGTCAGTTCAGTTGTATTCTCTCAACCTGGTAGTACAAATGTATATACTCCCGGTTATATTCATGGACCAGCTCTTGGACTTTATCAGCTGGCTCCCGGTCAAGTATGTTTACATTCTGTGAATGAATATTGAGTTTTTGCATACTTTTTTTCTGTCGCGTTTATTTCTGCCGTTTTGTTGAATGCTAATCATGATCTTCTGGTTTTGTAATATAAGTGATAGTAATTTAAGCAGTGATGCACAAAATTTAAAAAAAGTATATTCAAATCAACATGGACTCTGAGTACCACACTGACTGTCACATCTTGTATTCCAGACAGAAATTAGTGCTTTTAACATTCAGTAATTCTTATGTTTACTCAGATACGCGTAGATGTACACACCTAAGGTTTCATGCTTTGACAAACTTTTAATTAGCACTCGACACGATATTGTAGAAATGCTCAATATGACATATCTATTACTAACTACCTTGTGGTTTCTTGAATTAATTATTGAAATTGTATGGCTGTGATTTAACCTCTTGTGGACTTCGACTTATTCTGCTTTATTCTAAGATGTCAAACCTCAAACTAGGTGTCTTCACGAATGGATATTTTCATAGAACTACTCCAAAGAAGTTACACTGGACAGGCGTTTATTATGGGTTAGTCCCCTTCGTTTGTGGACATCTAAGGTACAGTCAAGAAACCAACCTAAGATCATCTGGTTATGCGACAAGAATGTTATTATTCAACCAGTGGATGCGTAAGGCGTCATGAATTCTAATTATGTCTATTTACTCTAAGTCGCTGTCTATCGGAATAATGTCAAATAATATTATTATTGACTCCTTAGGTTCAGAATGGAACATAAGGCTTCAGTAACACATCTGTACTTTTTTCTATTTTGTGCTGTCCTCTTTATATATGGGCTTGCGATTGTCCATAATCTTTCATCTCCTCCTCTCACGATCTCCTCCATGCCACCCTAGGACAATCCACTCATCGTTTCCCATTTGAATTCCACTCGAGGGATGGTCTGCATTGCGCGCGATGGTTTCCTGAATGTATGTCCGATCCATCTCCATTTCCTCTCGCATATTTGTTGAACGATAGGTTCTTGGTTAGTTTGTTGACATCCAGAGTTTCTTGTGGCCAATTATTTCTGGCCATTCTATCTTCAATATATAGCGTTGGCAAGTGTTAATAAAAGTCTGCAGCTGTCTGTTGGAAATGCTTTTGGTGAGGTGTTAGCTAAGTTTCTGACCCATATAGAAGAACTGACTTCATATTAGTGTTAAAGATGCGAACCGTATTGTTTATGCCGAGTACAGAAGATTTCCAAACCGATAAACTAATAATAGTTCATACAATTATTTCAACCAATATTAAAGGGGATTCGGTCAACATGGGCTGTCTAACCCTGACTAGTTGATTATTATTATTGTTCCCTTGGGTTCCTAGTGGAACATGGGGCTTCAACTGCACGTCTCCACTTGCTTCTCTCTTCCTTCTGCTGTACTTTTCACCTGCATCCATCTTAGTCCATGCTGTTTCAACTCTTCTTCACACGATCTCCTCCATGTCACCCTTGGACGTCCCACTCGCTGCCTTCCTTTCGGGTTCCACTCGAGCAATGGCCTGATCCGCGCGCAATGTCACCCAGCGGCCTCCTCAGCGAGTGTCCAATCCATCTCCCCTTTCTCCTGCATATTTGTTGGGCGATTAGTTCTTGTTGATTATTGATAAAAACTATTGTATATTAAGTTAACGTGTATAATGGACAGCATATTGTTTCCTACATACCATTCTGTCCCTGTCACCGAATGGTAGTGCAGAAATGGTTTATTTATTTATCGTCATGATTTATAGGCAAATATTTTATGTCAGTATCTCAACGCATTTAATCACACTTTTGATTTTTTTTGTACGAAACGATATGCGCTTCTTACGAATTAGTTTTTATCAGTTAAGTGTAAGTATGTGAAGCTGTTAAATAGATAAAATTTCATTTGAACCTTATTAACAGATGTAACTTGTACACGTTTATATGCATGTACTAAAGTACAAAACTATTTTATTTATTTATTTATTTAAACGCATAAAAAACTTGGTACAATATGGCACCAAGAAAGATGCACCACACAATTGTGTACAAAACTTGAATTTAAGGGAGAATTTCCTATGTCTTATTCTATACAGTTGACGCTGTTTGATATTGTTCGTATTGGACAGAAAGCAAGCCCACTTGGAGTGTCTTATCGCCCAATATATCGACTTTCACTATCTAGCAATACAAATCAAAACGCGAAAACTGTATCCGCTAAAAGCAACAGGACTGGTGATATTGGAGTTAGTCGGAATGATGCAGTAAGAAATGGTGTCGCTTTACCGCCTACTAATGATGGGATCGTTTACAGGTATAATGTGAATTATTGATGTTGTTGCTTTAACGTTTTTCAAGTAGTTTTATTTGTGACTAGTTGCTGTCTGCAGTATGATCGCTTTATAAAGATTAGGTATTAAGTTTTAGTTTAAATCTCAGTTAATATCATATATATTCCAGAAAAATGGTATTGTTGTCAGTATGTTTATTACATTAACAGCATTTGACTATCACATAAAAATGTAGTAAATATGAATCTTGAAGTTCATACTCAGGCATAATGGAAAAACTTCTCTTATCACCTGCTTCAGAAAACCAACCAAGTTGTACATCCTTACTTTGATGTAAGGTAACTTTAACAGTCAACAACGATTGTGTCACTGAAGATTATGTACAGAGGGATGTCAACATTTCTATTCTTTGCAGCCGAAAAGTGAGAAACAGCCCACAACTAGATCGACAATATTATTATTATAGTTCCACAAACTGCACTTCCAGACGAACCGTGTATCACCCAACTTTAGGATTTGTCCTCTGTAATATGTGGTCACGTACAACTAATTTTCTCTCTCCATTAAATACTTGGAGAAGAAGTCATTTTCCACGATATGAGTAGCTGTCAATAGTGAACCGCCCACATGCTCCTATAATCGATCACACAAATTTCTTTTATTCTTCAGTTGGGGTTTTCATTTTCTCACTTTATTTCCACTAATAATATTCCACTGACAGTTTCTAAGTATCTTAACCGTACGACCATCTTTAGTAACTATAGTCAATAGTATTTGAAATCCACACTGACAACTTCATAATGGGATAACAAACACCTGGAAATGATGCGGAATGGATTGCAGGCTTCACGAAATGAAACTCTGATGTCTCGAAGTTCAGATGTGTGATGTATCTCTGAGAAATTCATACAAGGCCAATATATTGCATTGGTTACAGGATTTCATCATGAGCTGGCATTGGTTAGAGAGTCATTGGAAAACCTGAGAGTACTGGACAGCTGTTCCGTCCTAGTGTGGAACTCTTCAGCAGTACGCACCCACCGGGGTTTGAACCCAGGTCCTTCTGGTTACAAGGCGATTTCTTTTCATTTAATGTCTGTCTGTCTCTCTGTTTTTGACATAGAACTTTGCACATATGTGTGGCAGTTCAAGTCACCACACTTCCTCCATGTAGCACACAAAGCAACAGAAGAAAGTACAAGAAAAGCATAATAGAGACAGTCAACAGAGGTGTGAGACAAAGAAAGAGTAATAACGAAGAACAAAACAGTTTCATTGGAAATCATAAGTCACAAGGAGTGGATGCATCTGCGCCAGCCATTGAGAACAATTACTTAGAGCCATATCACCAATTGTTTTTAACCATTGGTGTTTACCATTCCGAGGACCCAAACCAGGAAGTCTACACCTTCCTACGTGGCTTAGACCAACTGTTGTGGATTTCATTGACTGGTGCCAAGTTTTTGTTTGGCCGCCGCTAGCTTTTTTCCAGCCTGACCCTATATCCGCTAACATTGCTCGTCGAGGGAGGCGATGGCTTGGCATACGTAACACATGTGCTAACCATCTCAGTCTATGTAACTTCACGACTTCGTCGATTGATTTCCCCTGTTTACCTAGAACTCAACGCCTAACTTCAATGTTGCTCACCTTATTATGCCAATTTACACGGGAAATAGAGCGCAGGCACCTATGATCAAAGACAGCTAGTCTTTTCATGTCTTCCACTCTCAGTGGCCAGGTCTCACTTTCAGTCATAAAGGTGTATGAGTACGAGTAGAGTGCCTTAATCAGTGCAATATATTTTCTCGGAATTCCCTTTACAGCCAAGCATCTCCAGAGAACTTCCGATCGACAGAGTCGAATGCTGCCTTTAGGTCAAGAAATATAATGACTGTTGGACGCCGGTAGGAATGCCTATGTTCTAGAATCTGTCGGAGGGTGAAGATATGATCAATACACCCTCTTCCTGGTCTAAAGCCTGCCTGGCTCTCTCGTGTTTGTGCTTCCCGAGCACCACTCAGTCTACGCATGATTATTGAGCCTAAGACTTTAGATACTATATTAGTCAAGCTAATCCCTCTGTGATTATCACAGGAAGACTTGTCTCCCTTCTTGTATATGGGGATAATCAGTGACTTACACCAACCCGATGGGACTTCTTCTGATTCCCAGACGCTGCCTAGTACCTCAGTTAATGCAGACAGTAAGCTGTCTCCACCGTACTTAAATACCTCTGGAGTCATTCCATCAGGTCCCGCTGCTTTGCCTAGTTTCAGATTGGTGACAGCTTTAGTAACCTCAGTTAGGGGTGGAGGACCTGTGTCTATATCCCATTCAGGGAGGTGTTGGATGCTCGGAAGGTTGAGCGTGGCTGTGGGCAAATTAAACTGCTCCTCATAATGCTCTTTCCAACGATCCAGTCGTCTATCCTGGGAGCTAATTATAGTGCCATTTTTTTCCGAGATTGTCTCACTAATGATTTGTCTTCTCCCACCCGTTTCCCTGATGAGTCCAAAGAGTTGCCTGGTGTTGCCTATCCTCGAAGCTTTCTCCATCTCTTTGGCTTTTGTCGCCCACCACTGTTCACGGTCCTTGCGGAGACTTTTCGTAAGTTTCCTCTTGTGCAGCTTTCGCTCCTCATTGAATTCGGAGCTCGCCGGAATAAGTCTTCTAGCATCTATCAGTTCGGATGAGGCGGTGGAGATCCAGTGGTTTTTACTCACCTTTGGGTTTACCTTATTCACAGCTTTTACAGCTGTATCTATGGCTGCCTGGATATTTTTCCAAGCTTCTTCAGGGTGAGCACAGCTGTCGAACACAGATATGTGTTTAGCTAGTTCTTCCTGAAATACGGATTTAGTTTCCTGATCGAGCTGGGGACGTGATGGTTTTACCGCCAGCTGTTTCCTACGTCCGTTCAGTCGTAAGCACACCCGAGCGCGGACCAGTGCATGGTCGGTATCTACGCACGTGTTCCAGAAGGAGCGACAATCTCCTACCGACCCACGCCAACGATAGCTTATTGCTATGTGGTCTATTTGTGTCCAGCGTTGGTTTGATGAAGGGGGTCTCCAAGTCAAACAGTGTCTCTCCTTGTGTTTAAAGTTAGTGCTTACAAGAAACAAATGATTATCAGAACAGAACTGTAGGAGACGGTCACCGTTGTCGGTTCGCTGGCACGGAACTCCATAGGTGCCACCGACATCCTTCTCAGATTGACACAATTTCCCTACTTGAGCGTTAAAGTCACCAGCTAGAACGACTATGTCTGAGCGTTTAGCCTTTCGCACCAAACTAGACAGCTTTTGGTAGAACTCATCCTTCGTTTCATCTGAACTGCAGTCAGTGGGGGCGTAGGCGGAGATTACGAAAAGGCATCGGCGAGTAGTGCAGTCCTTCCTCCTTCTTACTGATCCGTTCAGACGGACAGCACACATTCGGCTATCTACCGGGATCCAGTCAAGCAATGTCTTTTCTGCCCTAGTACTCAAAGCTATCCCTACGCCAGCTAATCCTCGTGAACTAGCTGTGGCATCTCCTGACACCCTCAAGGTGAATTTTGCAGATTCAACCTGTTGGCCAGGTGGGGTTAGGTGAATAACCACACTTGGGTCTTGTATGCGTGTTTCTGAAACACAACATACATCAATGGCTCGTGATGCCAGGGTCTTGGCTAGTGATGCTTGTTGTCCTATTTGGCAAAGTGTCCTAACATTAAGAGCTCCTATATGAAATTGGTGGCGCGGCTTTAAGAGGCTGTCGGTGGTGGTTTTTTGGCTTCCATCGTTTTTAGTGGACGCAGAGTGGAGAGGAAGTGGAGAGCTATCAAGTCGAGGAGTTGCATCAGTGGAAGGAAGGCAAGATGATAGAGATGAAGATGAAGACAAAGATGAGTGAGTAATAGAGAGGTTTCGTGTGCATTTCGGATTGTGAGGGCGATTGTTACTTCCCGGCTGCCCACACCGTGGAAGTTGGTTGCGTGACCGCAGAGCCCAGGGGACAACTGCTTGAGGCCGGTCACACGCGGCCTGTTTTTGTTTGTTCTTTTTGTTTGGTGTGTCTCAGTAGCATATTTATCACTCCTGCCCTGTGACACGGCAGCAGGAAGCGCGGTCGTTGTTAATCCGGGCCACGGCCGATCCGGCATGAAATTTTGTGATTTTGTTTGTATCATGATGTTGGATTGGGTAGCTGCTTTTTGTTTAACCGCTATCCAAACAACCTGCCTGGCATGGTAGACCTCAAGAGACATAAGTCTCAGCCAGTATAGCTTGTTAGGTCATTGCGGTGTTCAAGCCCGACCACCACGTCAAGGTAACAGCTTTCGGTCGGGTTTCATTTAATGTATAATTTACAAAGAGCATCAGAAATGAATTTGGAGAAGTGAGAAACCGTTTACCCCGTGAGTAGGATGTAAGGCCTCATTCACGTTAAATGCACATCAAAAATTTCCATGCTGCATGTTTTAAAGCTATACTATGGTTAATGTTAGACTTAATCATTCTCAAGTAGTGACCGTACATCAGTCTTGTATGAAGACTACAACACCAAGCATTTTCTAGCTTAACGAAAGCTTTTTGTAATCTTCGGTCGAAACCACAAATGACTGTATTTATTTACTATAGATACTTGAATTCTACATAATCACGTAAACAAATACAGAGGTTACGGCTTTGTTTGGTTGTTACAGGCCTTATATTTTGACTAAGTTGATTTAACTGTTTCAAATGCTATCAACCAAATTCGTTTACCGAATTTCAGAATAGCTACTTGGAAAAGATAATTTTACACTTGAATTTCGATCATTAGCAGGATATGTAAAGCATAACATCTTGTTCAAATCTTCTCCTAGGCAGTAATTCTTCTTCAAATATCTGAAACAGAAAGACGATTAGTGTTGCGTGGCCACAGAGTCAATAGAGAATTCAAAGAAGTTCATTTCATACTAAAAGCTGTGCTGAAGATGTTTTCCAGATGGACAACCAAAGCTTCGCAATTAAATTAACCAGCTCAGAAGACACAACTAAATCAAAAACTCCATATCAGAGTTAAACCAGCTGGAGGAATATCAATCAGTTTACTATGTGACTGTTTTGAATAACTATTGTCCTTATTTATCAAGACTTGTTGAGTGGATTAGGGAATTTCACACGTTGCTTTCAATTATAGTTTACCAGGAGTTTCATGTTGCATGAATCAGTCATCACTGAATGGCAATATTTGTCCTTTAAGTCTCTGACACTGATCGGTGTCCAAAATATTATTTCATGGATGAGGTGTGAAGCAATATATGCAAACGCACATCCCGTTTAATTCAGTCAGTTGTAGATAATCTATTTGCTAACAATCATTAAGTCATATGTGATTTAAGTGATGCTACTTGAAGGTTGAAGTGATGCATTTCTATGCATGGCTTGATTTATCCCTTTTTATCGGTTTGCACACGTATTCCTAATATCATTTTTTTACTACATCTCCAGGCATCTGATTGTTTTTATGCCTTCACTAGATTTAAAAATTGTCTACCGACTACTGGATTATCTGACTTGGTGCTGGTGTGAAAACCGTATTAGTTCATCTCTCTGGATGTTTACAGTAGTAATAAAAACCTGTGCTAAACCACTCAATAACACTATGAAGGCGCTCTTTTTTTTGAGTTTTAAATTTTCTACACAATCTCGTAATAATATCTAGATGTGCCACTTTTTTTTTAATGTCCTCATTGTAGAGGCGGCGTTCAGTGAATATAATTCAAAGTTCGGGAAAATCAACTTCTTTGTTGAGGTGAATGCACTAATAAACATCTACATCGCATTATTTTGTCAATTAAACGAACATACCGCAAACATATCAAGCTTTAAAGCATATTCTCTAATTTTATCCCCCCTCCCCCTTACATTATGTTCTGAATACCTTCATTTCTCCCTCTACATACTATACTACGGATGATAATGGTATACGGCTTCATCGATTGTTATTTTACTACTTATCTCCCTATGTACCATTCAGCAGTCAGAAAAATTTTGCTTAATTTTTCTTTACTCTCATCTCATTGTCTTTGAATGTATAAAACACACATTGGAATGATTCAATCTGCTTCATTAATTTGTAACAATTCGTGAAATATTTGCTGTTATTTCTTTTCCTTACCCCATACACTGACAGGAATGTACCGCTTATTTCTTTAAACTTATATCGCAACTCAGACGTACTTGATAGACACTACGTATAATTTGTATCCTTTAATATACTTACTTTTTCTTTCTTTCTGCTTAACTGCTTATTCAAGCTATGCGATACGATTTTGCATTGTTTGACTTGATTTCATTATTTCTGGTGACTGGCGGCTATATATCCATATGTGTCCTACACCTACACGGAATGTATCATATATTTTATATCATCACTTAATATGCAATTTTTTCTTTTATAGTTATTTATCGTATGCATTTTTTTCGTTTATTCTTTTTTACTAATCCTGGTCTAAATGAAACTTTGCATGCAGATAAAACGGTATTTAGTGAATTCATTGAGACTGTTTATCTATTCGAAGTATTTAGTATCTTTTTTATGCCTAAGGTGAAGTTTACAGCTCGACTGATGTTGGACGGTCTTCTTTCCTACTTTATTAGTATAACGACGAAGAGAAAGCTTGTTTATTTTCAAGGTAGAACATAAATACTATATTCAGAAACAAAGTAGAAGAAAACGGAAAAGCAAAACATATATATGTATGCATGGATGTATGTATATATAAAAGTGTCCACCTCATCTGTTTTTTCTACTGTTCAGTTTCGCAAATGTTTTTTGCATGTGCTTATCCAAGATAATTTTCCTTGTTTCATATGGTAGTTTTGAGATTTTTTCCCATTTGTTTAGGTTTGCTTCCACTACGCTTATGATTACACTTACTTTGGGTACGATACGACAAGTGGTCTTATAGCATGGCAAGCAAACTCCACGAATGAAACCAACCTGAGTTGTGAAAAGATGGACCAAATATTTAAATTTCATGTTTATAGGTATGACGAAAATAAATATGGAATATGTTTCACAGGGTGCAGCTTTGATGCGCAAAAGTTTAATCACAATGAGCTGAATTTTCAACGTATAACTTTGCACAAAGATGCAGCAGTTCAAGCTGCCACACTTCGTAAACACACAGATGTAGTTAGGAAAAAAGCAAATGAACAAAAACGAACGAACTGTGCAGAAGAAACACTAAACACATTGAAAAAAGGACATAATTGGATGGGTCTGGGATATAATATGAGATTTCCATACACTACCTAATATGTTAGTTAACCCAGGAAATAATACATCATTGCCATCCTTAACACTTCGTGTATCAGACTGCTAGGCCTGATGGTTAGAGTGTGCGTGCCATCGATGACATTCTGGAGTCAAGTGTAAAGGATATGCGTGGCAAGTTGAATCGCCTGTCGCAACGTCAGTCTGGGTGTCATTGATAGGGTTTACAATGCTTTAGTGCGCTCTGCATGCCTGTCACTTCTGCCTTCTAGAAGACGTGGAGGGGTGCCGACTCGATCACCGTTACCTTCGTGGGATCGCTTGCTCCGGATCGCATCGTGCAAGTAATCCTAAGGTCTGTCAGAGTACGTTTCTGACACGGTTGATGTCATATTACATCGAATGTTGTCATCTTGGGGAGCACCGGCTTCGGTGGCCTATTCATGTGCTACAAATGTCATCTCGGAGTTTATCGTGCTGCTCGTTGTTTGCTAGCCCTTGAACTGGATGGAAAAAGCGGAATTATGGTCAGCCTATCAATGATGGCGTCGTAGGATGAACGATTATTTGTGTTAGGTAACATCCATCTGTGCATCACGGCTCTCCGGTTGAGGTCTAAGAGACGGTTCGAATCGGTGGCTCGAGGCGTTATCAGATATGGCTAAGAATCGCAATCAGTGGCGAACATACTGCGATTTCCTCCTTTCTTCTGCTGCTTGAATAAAAATAAAGTACTGAACGGTCCTTTTAGTGATCTTTACAAGTAGGCTTGATTGCTTTCTGAATGATCCTCCCGTTTTTATCCTTATTTTCCTCATATATTGTTGTTTCATTAATTTTGTACGGTATATCTCCTGGTGCCAATAAAGAACAATGTTTGTGTTTCAATAAAAAAATAATCATTCTATTAGGTTCCGTGGTATTATTTTTTTCTAGATTAGCAAGAGCTTTCGCAACCCAGCAATAATTGGAGGACGGGTTTCTTCTACTTCGACTTTCTTTTAAGAAACATCCTTCTTGTGTATCGTTTCACTGATAAGCTTTTCTTCACAGCCGTTTTACCTGATGACCCTAAACAGTTTTACAGCATTACCTACCACTGATTTCTACTCCCTTTTGTCGCTCACCACTGTTTACTGACGTTTCGATGGCCTTTAGTCAGTTTGGATTTGAGCGGCATTCGTCTGTAGTCTTGTTCGAAAGCAGCCAGATTCAGTCACTTGTTTCCATTAGCTTTGATACGACAACATTTCTTGAGATCCGTGTTGGACATAGGTCTTCAGTGGTATATCGCTATTCCATTCGGTTTCCTGCTATCACTTTCAAATGGCTGCATAAACTTTCACTTTCTCTTCAGCCAATCTCCATGTCACTCTAATACGCCCATTTCGTTGCTTTCAATTCGGGTCGGACTCAAATCCCTGGCTTATGATGTCACTTGAAGGTTTGCTCTGTCTGTGTTCAACCCAACTCTAGTTCCTCATGCATATTTACTGAGTAATAGATAATACAGTTTTTTGTTGCTCATCCTTCTCGACTAACCATTTGATCTTCAGCATTGAGCCAGCTCAAGCAGCTGTAAACTGATTAGAAGTCTGCAGTGGCCTGTTGGAAATACTTCTGTAATGTGCGTGACAAGTCTGTGAATCATAAACAACCACTGACTTGATAATGGTGTTGAAAATTTCGATTTCATTCCTCGTGGTCTGAGTGGTGTTAATCTCTACTATGTCTCCTGAGTTGCTTTAACATCCTCATCCCTGCCGCCTATAGTTGAAACAACTCTGCCTAGGAAAATGGAAGAGGTGATTTCATTTTATTTCTGCAAATAGTGGTAATTAGTGTTTTCTGTTGATCTCTTGGGTACTTTCATTAACTTTGTCTTCTTTTCGTTAACTTGAAGTGCTGTGTTTTCTGCTTCTTTTGCCAATTTATTGGTTTTCGATTGAAAATCCTGGCGTTTTAGTGAAATTAGGCATAAACCATCCGCGAGAGATACACACCTAGGGTTTTTTGTCATTCCAGTATATTCCCATCTCGCTTCCCATGGTCTACCTCAAAATGCAGTCCATCACAGCGGTGCTAGTTTGAAAGAAGCCTTGTCTTCTTTTTTCACTTCAAACGCTTCAGTGAGATTTCCATTTCCGGTACTGGCATCATATGAGATTTTGTGAATGTTTGCATCACTACACCTTTTTGTGTTGTTGCAGTTTTCGAGTCGCTTTTCGTCTAGTGGATGATGCCTTGGTGTTTGAAACTATGGGCACTGGGTTCCAGCCTCGTTGGGAACATCATCACTCACTGGGAGATGCAGGTACATCCAGATGACGATTCTGGAACAGGACGAAATGTGCATCCTGGATTACACTGCTAATCATTATCCACCAATTGAATTCGAGTATTTATTTTAGACTTTCAAGATATAAATCACTGCAAATATACTCATTTCAAATGGGTTCATTTAATGTCGTTATATGTTTTGTGCATATGTGCCTGATGATGAGTTTTAAGAAACCATTCAGCTGTACGTAATAAAGACCAAAAAAAATACTCTGTAAATGAAAGTTTTCCGACTCTGTTACTAGTGCTTATAATTTACCTGTCCACTTGCTACTTGAACTGCTTCATCTCGATCCATTAAAACTAACGGTTTTCCATTTATGGCCTTCTCTTCATCACCCTTAAAAGAAGAAATAAGAGACACACTGTCTATCTGTGAAGGAAATCCACATCTCAAAAGCAAAAGTATGTGTCTCAAACAAATTTGTAATGCTTAAGGATAAGAATACTTGGTGAACGTGGACTAAAGCGAATGTTTTAAAAATGACAAGCAAGAAGCCAGCCACTATAAGTTTTAATGAGTCCAAGGTAGCATTTTAAGGTTTCAGTGCATTTAGCTGTTGATTGATAATAATCTCATCTTGATGTACTATCAATACGCAGGAGTAATGATATGATCGAAATCAGTAGTTACACGGTCCTTATTCTGAAAATGGAAAATACGAGTCAGTGGATTAATAACTGGATAACGTTTTTAGCATGCATTATTGCTGGTAATCATATCAGTGTATTTTTACATAACTTCGTAATTTGCTCCGTATGGTTGTATTCGCCCCCAAATTTTTTTTTAAATTGTAATTTTTCATATTAGCGTTACAGGCGCTGCGTCGTTTCGACTCTACGTGTTTCCTGTTGATTCAATGAAAATTCGGTGTCATCAAATAGATAAAGTGAATAACTACCCACCAGAATTCATTCAAAATATATGAAGACCCATGAGAAAAGCAAAAGTAGTAGTGAAAATAACATAAATAATTAGGATTTCAAAGCCTCAGTAATACTGCCATATAAAGAAAAATACCAGACGTCCTACGTAAGATTTTTAATAAGGCTGGAATTTAAATGGTATTCAAAACAACCGACTAACTCTGGGCCGAATTTTGTTGAATTAAGTTTCTCATCGATAAAATTAGAAAAGCTAACATAATTTATCAAATACCTGACTGTGCAGTCACCTATATATATAGGTCAAATTAGTAGATCCTATTCAACAGTGAATTTATCGAAAAAAAATAAGAATTGGGCTAGGTCTTGAATGATTGGTGCCGTTAAATAATCTAGAAAAAAGCTCGGTTATCACAATATGTGGGCGGGTGTACTGCTTATCAGTCCGCTCCGTCCTCCTGTATCGTTGTGAGACCTGGCCACTGAGAGTGGAAGACATGAAAAGACTAGCTGTCTTTGATCATAGGTGCCTGCGTTCTATTTCCCGTGTAAAGTGGCATAATAAGGTGAGCAACATGGAGGTTAGGCGTAGAGTTCTAGGTAAACAGGGAAATCAATCGACGAAGTCGTGAAGCTACATCGACTGAGATGGTTAGGACATGTGTTACGTATGCCAAGCCATCGCCTCCCTCGACGAGCAATGTTAGCGGATATAGGGTCAGGCTGGAAAAAAGCTAGCGGCGGCCAAACAAAAACTTGGCATCAGTCAATGAAATCCACAACAGTTGGTCTAAGCCACGTAGGAAGGTGCAGACTTCCAGGCTGGGGTCCTCGGGACGGTAAAAATCTATGGTTGGAAACAATTGGTGACATGGCTCAAATTTATCGTTCTCAGTGGCTAGCGCAGATGCATCCACTCCTTGTGACTTATGATCTCCAATGAAACTGTTTTGTTCTTCGTTATTACTCCTCCTTTGTCTCACACCTCTGCTCACTGTTTCTATTATGCTTTTCTTGTACTTTCTTCTCTTGCTTCGCGTGCTACACGGAATGTGGCGACTTGAACTTCCGCACATTTGTGCAAAGTTCTATGTCGAAAACAGACAGACAGACTTGCATGTAATCACACAATAGGGCAGGTTAGGTGGAGCGTCAGGTTAATCACGAAATTTCTACTCATCGAATAAACACCAAACACGTGAAATCGAAATACAGCAAAGCCTATATCGGTATTATGTAAAATTACAACAATAAGATGCATGGGTAACAATAGCATACAAAGTAAGTTTTAAAGTCTTGTGAATATATTATGATATTATTGATTATGAGCAATAAACTGTGCTGGAGACGTTCAGTTTTTAATGCTGTATCATTTTATGTTATGTTAATTAAACGCAATCAGTATGAAATGCTATTCGAACATACCGGCCTAACTCTATGTTCACACATTTATGTGCATAATTTGTAATTCTTCAGTCCTTTAAGTTGTATCCATTATGGGTTCACACTTTGTACCTCTTACAGTGAAATCTTTAAGGCGTGCTTAATAATGTAAAGTGGATAAGAGTAAATAGTCTAGTAAGTACATTCTACTGGATCACTTGTTATCGATACATAAATTCTACCATCATTAATAGATGAATGCAAGGCTAGAAATTTATATTACTAGAGGGTAAAAGCTTTTATATTTTGTCAGAGAGTTAATTTCTATATGCCAAATATAAATTTTCCCCATAAGAAAACATTTTTAGCTGTTACACTGTTAGCATACCTGTGTCCAGAATTCTTGCATAATTAACATTACCACTTTAACTTGTATATCCCATGGTTTAAATGTGGCACATAAATCACATGCAGGCATTAGAATACTCATTACAGTCAGCCTAGAAAGGAATAAACAATGAAATATATATACATATATATATATATATATATATTTTAATAAATGATTCTACCGAATAAACCAATTACAAAGATTCATTTAGAAAACACAGAATGAGCGAAGAAATATACTGCTTTCCAACTAGTTCCTCATCATCAGCTCTACACTTATATATAGTTTTTGTGCATCAAAATTTTTACCAGCCAAAAGGTTATTTCAGTTTATCAGTTTTAAGTATGGGGGGGAGTGAATTATAAAGTTGAAAGTTATCAAAACAATTAACTAATAGATGTTAGTAACAAGATAACAAAGTCAAAAGATAGTAACAAGGGGAGGGGAAAGAACTGCTTTTAAAAAAACGTAATGCATGTTATGTAGTTGATCAATGGAAAAGAAGGGAGCTGTACAAATTTCTTTTGAACACACAGATTTGGCTTGTTCAGATGAATTCTGATTGCCTCTGTTGTATGCAAAAGTCGTAGTTGCAGGCCACGCGCGACGTTGGATGATGTACGATAAAGAACTTTACAAGCTCTGTTAGAGTTGACTTGATGTCGAGTATCGACGAGATGACCTAGTAGTGAGCTGCGTATAGCCTTATTTGAACCTTTGCCAAATAAATATGGGGTGGTCTTCAGAAACTCGACGATGAATTTGCCCAATCTAACTAGCTCCACACTGTGATTGTGTTATTGTTGCAATTATAGCTAATTCAGCTAACTTGTTTGTATTTAACGTATTTCTTCTTAATTATCATTATTTTAAAAATTCTTTGATTATGTAATGAATTTCGTAATTCATTTTCACCCCTCCTTGAAAACTTGGATATCTTGTTACTGACATCTATTAGTTAGTTGTTTTGATGACTTTTAACCTGATAATTCAACTCCCCGTATACTAAAACTGATAAACTAAAATAACCATTTGATTGGTAAAAATTTCAATGTAAAAAACTATATATATATATATATATATTAGTGTAGAGCCGATGATGAGGAACTAATTGGAAAGGAGTATATTTCCTCACTCAGTCTGTTCTCTCCTAGTGCCTAAATGGGAATTCGGGAAGTACTTATTTCCAAATGGTTTAAGTTATGTGTACTTGAGAATGCTATACTGGTCATTACAAGTTAATTAGCAGAATATCTGGAACTTCTGCTTTGTGCTTAATGGTACTCTTCAGTGGGGTATTCCTTTAAATTAATATGTACAATAGGTACAAAGCTGTCAGCCGTTATCGTACAGCCGAATGACCGTATTATATGCATGATTCATAGCATTCGATAAAGATTTAGGATTGAATTTATCCACATTGAATATTTCGATATGTAAAAGTCCCCGTTTAGAAATTTAGATTGACAAAAGGATTGGGCAGGGAAATATTCATTTTTCATTTAAGTGTCCATCTATCTCTGTAATATATTTGTAGCATTTCTTGTGCAATACAAATAATTTATCATTCCAGTGATGATACGTTTATTAGTGACAGTTAGTGGCTATTCACATGTCAGGCGGATGATAATTAATCAAGAAAATTAATGTAACAATTAAAGGGTAGGAATAATCTCAGAAATTAAACATGTGGATTACATATTACATAATTTTGGGAAAATAAGTAGTAACCAAGGTATAAATCTGTGTTCAGATTGACTATGTAATAGGCAAGTAAAGATGAATTCCATTATAGATAAGATTTATCAAAATAAAAATCTTATCTATAATGGAATTATACTCTACCACAGTGCCCAAGTTTTATACTTATATCAAGTAAAGATGAAGTAGTCAGAATAAATAAAGTAATTAGCACAATGACAACTCATGAAAGACTTATGAGAAGGGGTAAACTGTAATTCTGTACATTCTTGTTATGATGGCGAAAATGAGGACATTGATAGTATATAGCTTTATGCATTTATCCTTGGCTTCTTGATTACTATATGTGATATCAGGTAGGTTACATATTGTAATCTGAATAATTTCGGTTTCCAAGGTGAACAGTAGTGAAATAATCATCTCGAACTGTACAGATTACGGATTAATTTTGCGCAGTTGCAAACTAAGTTCCAAATCGTGAATTTTGTTGACTTTTGTTTGTTAACAAACTTATCACCACTAGATCGGTAAATTTTTCGTACCTTATAAAACATATTATGCATCAGAGTAGAGTCATACAAGAGGATCTCCACTGATTGTTACCCATGGGTGATTTCGAATAGCTGAAATTGTATTCATTTAGTGTAGCAGTAGTTTAGAGTTAGTGAAATATTAAAAATGACAGAAGAAAACCAATGTATCTACTAGGCTGACATTAATTAAATGGTTGCTTTCACGGCTTACCATCATGCAATTATTTTCAAGCAGGGAAACAGAACTAGTAAAGACTTGTTTACAGAAAAGCCATACATTTCTGTTCTCTAAACCACTTGTAAGTTAAAAAAACTAAACACTTCAGAGAGAGTGATTACTGAGGAATGTGTAGCATCATATAAAAAAATAATAATCTTTGATTCATTAGACAGATGTCAATATTCCTTTGGTTTTCTGCTGATGGATAAGTAAGAAACGGATTAGTAGTAGTTTTTATAAACCTAAAGAAAGGTGGGGAAATACCTTTTTGTCGGAAGTCTTACATAACAGTCGCAGACAACAGATGATACCTAGTATTGTTGACAGATTCCTAAGGATTGATAATGAAACGAAAACAAGGCACAAAATATCGTCGTTTCCCTATACTTATTGCCTCCAGACCAATAAGTTGATTTTCTCAATATATTCAAACTAGTAGTCATGCATTGTCGTCTGCGGTTCAGTGGTAGAACACTGGCCAGTTATGCGAGTGTCCCTGGGTTCAATTATTGGCCGGCCCAATCCTTTGCATGGCCTGGCTGGTAGTGAACATGGCACCAGTCAATGAAACCTACAACAGTTAGTTTAAGCCAGCCACGTAGGAAGGTGTAGACTTCCTGGTTGGGGTCCTCGGAACGGTAAACACCAATGGTTGGAAACAATTGGTGATATGGCTCTAAGTAATTGTTCTCAATGGCTGGTGCAGATACATCCACTCCTTGTGACTTATGATTTCCAATGAAACTGTTTTGTTCTTCGTTATTACTCTTTCTTTGTCTCACACCTCTGTTGACTGTCTCTATTATGCTTTTCTTGTACTTTCTTCTGTTGCTTTGTGTGCTACATGGAGGAAGTGTGGTGACTTGAACTGCCACACATATGTGCAAAGTTCTATGCCGAAAAGAGACAGACAATCTTGTAAAGAGAGAAGGTTGGACATGAGAGTAGTAACCCCATCTCTTCAAAGCTCTAGCCTGAAGTTGTGTGTTCCACTTAGAACGCAAAGGAATAAAATAAGTATTAATATTAAGTAGTCGCACACAAAATATTCTAGCCCATTTAAGTTTGACAACCCTATCACCAATTATTTTTTCAGTCACTTAAAGAGAAGGCAATCAGTTGGCGTATTTATTGGAAGCGCCTGATTTGCAAGGTCCTACTTAAATCCAGGAAAGTCCTGATTGTTGTCGACAACGTGTTCCAATGTATGTTCTTCAGTTCTTCAGTTATGTCTTTGGGTCTCAAAATGTACTTTTGAACATCTTACATTTGGCTTTCAAACAGATATCATGGATTTCTTGAAGGAGACAAAGCAGATATGTCATAATGGAATGGTTTGTACTTCAGCTCAGAGAGCGCTGAGCTTTTTTACGAAGGGAAAATATAATGCAATAAACTCCTCTGAAAATCCTGTACATTTTATAAATACTGTCCAGAATAAAGATGTCATTTTTTATTATTAAGAATGGATTAGGTAGTAAGTAGTATTTTGAGAATTAAATTTTTCTTGAAAACCCACTTATTTGAATATATATATATATATATATATATATATATATATATATATCCCGCCGAAATATCTCTCTTATCCACCATGTAGAGTAACATAAAAACAAACTAAATTACCACATAAATAGTCATTGATTACTTATGATTTACTTGAAATTCCATTGGATAAAATTATCCTTCAAGTTATATTTATGTTGAAACTAGTAAGTTTTTCAAGTTGAATGCTTGAAGAATGTCATAATTTACAAAAACAAACAAAAGTAATATAGCACAAGTAGAAATATATAAAAGAAATAACGAAAAATATACGCCAGCTTACCTATCAGCTGGTTGAGACCAATCAATACCACTTCCAGAACTTAACATTTCCCCTAATTTATCTTGAGTTGGCCAAAATGTTGCCAAATCGGTAGCCAGAATACAGTGTTTTATAAGTCCAAGTATCTTGAAAGTTTAATAGTAAGATGAACCGTTTAATAATAAATCTAGCATAATTAAAGTAATCATTGAAGTTTACTTTTTTTTGTCTCTGATCATGCACACGATTTTTCAATAACAAAAATAAGGTCAGATTTACGCTATTCGTTAACAAATTGATTGATTTTTAAAGAATGTACGAAGTTTAAGACATACAAAAATCTATTTCTCTCTTTCATTCCTTCGCGTCGCAGATGGAACAAAGGGCTTCAAGCCTCCTGACCTTTGAAATTTCACTAGCAGTGTTTTTACGGGGTTGGGGGGGTATGATTTCTAGCTCCACGCTTCACCTTCCTTCTTTACCGGGCTTACTGCCGGCTGAGCAAGGTCTAGTAGTGCGTCGGCCAGGCATATATCCCCAAACCATACATATGGATCGGCAAGCATTCTACCACTGGACCACCGACGCATGCGAAAAAGATCCATAATAGTGGATGATCAGGGAACAGACTTGGAAATCATTAGGTACAAATTCTCAGGATTTTAACGAAGGAGAAACACTTGATTATATACGGTATAGCATTGTAATTGAAGACCAAGAATACTATTCAAAATGTTTCACTCTTATTGTGGGAGATGACACTATGAAGTGTACCTGCATCATGCAAAGAAGGGTGAGAAAGATACTGGCATAGTATTTAGTATTTGTCATTCTATAAAGTATTACTTATTAAAGCTATTATACCTGTCAAAAGAAAAACAGTTGTGAAAACAGTCTTCGTGTAAATTTGACCTAGTTAATGAACACCTTTTTGAGTAATTTCACGTTTACAATGCATTGATAAAAAATTACCTGGATTTTTAAATCTCACGTTCAGAATACTCGTAAGTCTAACTATCATACTAGTTTGAATAACTTTCTTGTATTTCTATGTGTCTATCCACTGAATATCGTCAGTTTTCTTCCGAACTTAGATTGCTGTGTTGAGCAATTCTTTTAAGAAAATATAAATTTTCTTTTTATTCACCCGTCCAGACATAGTCTGTCTGTCTGTCTGGATTCCAGATAGAATTTGGCAACGAAGTGCAGAAGTTCGAGTTGCCACGTTCCAAATAGCACACACAGGCAGACAAGAAGATGAGTGAAGAGAATTAATAGAGTTTGACAAGTATAAGAGTGACTCAGAATGGGTAATGGTAGAAAAGGAATATGAAAGATTACAGAGACTGAATACATCTGCGCCATTAACAACGATTTTGAGCCATGTCACCTATGGTCTCCAGCCATTGATTCCTAGAGTCAGTCCCGAGGGCCCCAACCCGGAAGTCTGCATCTCCCTACCTACCTGACTCAGTTTAACTGTCAAGGATTTCATGGATTGATGAGGCCATGTTTTTGTTTGGCCACCACTTACTCTTTTCCAACCTGCACCTATATCAGCTAGTAATGCCCGTCGTCGGGGAAGGTGATGGTTAGGCATGCGCAGCACGTGACCTAGCCATCTCAATCTACGTAACTTTATAGCCTCGTCGATTGATTTTCCCTCTTTCCCCAACACTCTAAGCCTAACGTCAACATTACTTACCTTATTAAACCACCTAACGTGAGAAAGAGATCGCAGACATAGTATAGGCTATAAATTAGATCTTATGAATTTCAAAACACCCAGTCGTTAGCTGTTCATATTAAGTTACAGACGAAATAAATTTTATGAAATAAACAATACTTTTTCAATCTAGTTGTAACATATGCACTGGCATTTAGTGGGTTGGGGGTTCAAACTCCACTTTTCTTAGGTCAATTCGCGCAAACGACAGTCATCAAAGACATTTATAACTTAGGTGTGATTTATAGACAAATACAGAAAAAAAGTACCATAGACGAGTAATTTTACTAATGGCTAATTGCTCACCTTTATTATGAGCACTTTAATTATCGCGATAGTCATTATTACTAATCACATAGTATGTGAGGATGAACCAGCATTTGCAAATAACAGAAATTATTTGTAGCTATATGTCTACATGTGGACAGCTTATTGTACCCTAAACAAGTTTTGTTTCTTATCAAGGTCTTAATGAAATTCTAACAACCATCTTTGGTACAAGTTTGTGAGCTAAACTTCTTCACCTTGGTAGTAAGTTACATTAAATAAAGAGTGAATTTCCAAACAGGAATTCAATTCACTGTCTCGTTGAATGCATAATCTGACTGCCTTTGAATATCCAGTTTTCCTTTCCTTTTTGTGGCAACTGTTCATAGTACTTTTAACTATTTGACGACATCATCTCCACATATAAGTGAGTGATTAGTCCAGCTTTCATGACTAGATTTTGCCGAACTTATGAAATACCCTACTATATGTGATGATATACTGGATACAATAATAAGTTCAAATGGACCTAAAAATAACCAGCACTTCAGTCACATATACATGTGAATAAAGTAATAAAAAATATGAGAACTATCAATTTTGTAAGTTCACTGAGTCACCGTTGTTCATTGTTCATATTGGTGAGATGCAAGTATACCTCACCGGTTACACTTATTCAAGCGTTGGTTTTTTGTAGGGATTTAATTGGTTGCAGGATTTCATCATGAGCTGACATTGGTTAGAGAACCATTGGAAAACCTGGGAGTACTGGACACCTGAAGAGTCCCACACTAGGACGAAACAGCTGTCCAGTACTCCCAGGTTACAATTATATTTTGATCTCATGGACAGTCAACTCGATATTTTGTTCTGAGCAGACAGAACATCTATTTATTTAACAACTTTCAAAATATAACTCATTTTCATGCGGTAGTCTCAAGTTCCGGTTTGACTAATTCAATTGCAGAGAGGAAACTTGGAAAAAAAAACACTTATGCCCCAACTGCATAACATTTATTGTATATTCAACTATAAGTATACTGACAGTTCCAAAAAATGATATTTGATGACTTAATATAGAAGGTAAAATAAACAAAAAAAATTTTAAAGCGTAAACCTACTGTCTGGTAAGGTGTATCTTTAAAATTTTTAAATATATTTTGACCACGTTGCTGTAAGTAAAATATTAAATCGTTTTAGTTATACACAGTAGACAAATAAGTCAAGAAAAGTTAACTTAAGAAAAAAGGATATAAAGTTATTTTTCGAGTTTAACCACGGAGTGAAGTCAGTTAGAGGACCAGGGAGTACTGGACAGCTGTTTCATCCAGGTTTGGAAATCATCGACAGTACACACTCACTGGGGTTTGAACCCAGGACCTTTCAGTTACAAGGCAAGCTCGTATACCATGATATCACTGGGACGCAAATCAATCACTACGTGCAGGAATTCTAACTTCTACCAATTCGTGATATGTTTTAGCGCCACCACCCCAACCAATGTCATCTGCGGGAAGTCCATCCTGACTCCTTGGTTTTCAATGGTTCTCTAACTGATATCAATCCGTGGTTAAACTTGAAAAACAAATTAAATACTTCACAAATCATCTCCTGAAAAATAAAGTTTTTTGTTTCCAAAAATTATTAGCATTTTCGTATACCGTTCCGCGTAACAAAATAAACTGTTTTATATTTTGCTGTATAAATGAAATTAATATGTAAAATTCCTTTTCAAACTTATAACTGGTATTGTGGTGAAACTTAACTAAATAAATGAGTGATTGGAACTACAAAACTACATGGTATATTAGTGTGTTCCCTCGTCGTGTCTACTAGTAGGGTACAAGAAATTTGGGAGCTAATTAAATGGCACTATAATTAGCTCCCAGGATAGACGACTGGATCGTTGGAAAGAGCATTATGAGGAGCAGTTTAATTTGCCCACAGCCACGCTCAACCTTCCGAGCATCCAACACCTCCCTGAATGGGATATAGACACAGGTCCTCCGTCCCTAACTGAGGTTACTAAAGCTGTCACCAATCTGAAACTAGGCAAAGCAGCGGGACCTGATGGAATGACTCCAGAGGTATTTAAGTACGGTGGAGACAGCTTACTGTCTGCATTAACTGAGGTACTAGGCAGCGTCTGGGAATCAGAAGAAGTCCCATCGGGTTGGTGTAAGTCACTGATTATCCCCATATACAAGAAGGGAGACAAGTCTTCCTGTGATAATCACAGAGGGATTAGCTTGACTAATATAGTATCTAAAGTCTTAGGCTCAATAATCATGCGTAGACTGAGTGGTGCTCGGGAAGCACAAACACGAGAGAGCCAGGCAGGCTTTAGACCAGGAAGAGGGTGTATTGATCATATCTTCACCCTCCGACAGATTCTAGAACATAGGCATTCCTACCGGCGTCCAACAGTCATTATATTTCTTGACCTAAAGGCAGCATTCGACTCTGTCGATCGGGAAGTTCTCTGGAGATGCTTGGCTGTAAAGGGAATTCCGAGAAAATATATTGCACTGATTAAGGCACTCTACTCGTACTCATACAGCCAGGTGAGGGCTTACGGCGAGCTGTCATCTGAACTGATGACGACCAGTGGTGTCCGTCAAGGATGCCCATTATCTCCTTTTCTATTCAACTTCATCATAGATGTGTTAATGGACTTAACCCTAGGTGACTTCAGCGACTCAGGGATTGACTTGCTACCGGGGAATAATCTCGTTGACTTGGAATATGCAGACGATATAGTCCTTCTAGGCGAAGACGCTGACGAAATGCAGAGTCTTCTAAACACCTTGAGCCGCAATCTACGAATGTTTGGCATGCGATTCGCTCCCGCCAAATGCAAGATGATGTTACAGGACTGGACTACATCGACGCCTAGTTTAAAAATAGGAAGTGAAGTGGTAGAGCACGTTGACCGCTTCACTTATTTGGGAAGTACCATCAGCCCCAACGGGTTGATCTCTGACGAAATCTCAGCACGAATACAAGGGGCTCGTTTCGCATTTGTTAGTTTACGCCGACTCTGGCGTAGACGAGATGTTCGACTATCGACCAAAGGGCGGGTGTACTGCTCATCAGTCCGCTCCGTCCTCCTTTATGGTTGTGAGACCTGGCCACTGAGAGTGGAAGACATGAAAAGACTAGCTGTCTTTGATCATAGGTGCCTGCGTTCTATTTCCCGTGTAAAGTGGCATAATAAGGTGAGCAACATGGAGGTTAGGCGTAGAGTTCTAGGTAAACAGGGGAAATCAATCGACGAAGTCGTGAAGCTACATAGACTGAGATGGTTAGGACATGTGTTACGTATGCCAAGCCATCGCCTCCCTCGACGAGCAATGTTAGCGGATATAGGGTCAGGCTGGAAAAAAGCTAGCGGCGGTCAAACAAAAACTTGGCATCAGTCAATGAAATCCACAACAGTTGGTCTAAGCCACGTAGGAAGGTGTAGACTTCCAGGCTGGGGTCCTCGGGACGGTAAAAATCTATGGTTGGAAACAATTGGTGACATGGCTCAAAATCGTTCTCAGTGGCGCAGATGCATCCACTCCCTGTGACTTATGATCTTCAATGAAACTGTTTTGTATTTCTTTATTACTCCTTTGTCTCACACCTCTGCTCACTGTTTCTATTATGCTTTTCTTGTACTTTCTTCTCTTGCTTCGCGTGCTACACGGAATGTGGCGACTTGAACTTCCGCACATTTGTGCAAAGTTCTATGTCGAAAACAGACAGACAAGAAATTTGAATTAACTAGTTTGTAACTGGATATCGGAAAAAAAAATCCCAATCATGATCAGTTATCAATCAATAAATAAGCATTTAAACAGAACTTATTATACGATAAATTTACAACGATCATTAGGTATGCAAGTGAATGTATCCCCTACCTGTAATATTGTAATTGTCATATTGAAATGATGATGTTCCATTGGTGATGAACTATACAAAGCAGCTAAGGGGGTTGAATAACTCTTCATAAATCGATTATCTCTACCACGATGATCTAAATCATGACACAGACAGGCTACAAATAAGCACACTTTCTGTAAAACGTAATAAATATAAGACATATGTTATGAGTTGGTTGGCAGTATTTTGTAGTATAGAAAAGACTTTTATTGGTTCAAGTGTTCTTTGAGATCAAGATTTTTATAATAGGCAGCAACTATCTGCCATGGATTTTCAATGCGCTGCCTTAAAAATCTTGAAATCAAAACTCACTCAATCAAAACATCATATATATTCATCAAATAATAATGTTAAAGATGGAACTGCTTACCTTTTAGAAATTTATAAAACATAGATTCATTCTGAGAATTAAATTTGTTTACTCAGATAAAACTGACCGACAAATATTGGCCATGTCGCTTCTGTCTGTCGCTCTCTCTCTCTCTCTCCCTGTGTCTCTTTACAGAACTTCAGCAGTGGATCTGAATCCAAGATTTATAATTCTGATAACAGAAAATTCGTCATGGATTTATTCCCGTAAGATATTCAAACCTTTCATCCATGTTACTGAGACTAATTACTATCTGTTTTTGTCAGAGTTTTACCCTAGAACTCACACATCTAATTAGGGATTTACACAAATGTTACATATATTTGTAAAACGGATTGATTTGTGAAATGCTCATTTCAAATGACTTTAACATTAAACACATAATTCAGGAAATGTAATTAATTCACTTTGTTTAAACATTCTTGTCCATAACTCAATGCATCACTAATTCAAATAATCTGGCGTCAGTAGATTAACGGAAAATATTTAATTATTAATTACCTGATGTGGCTATTTAAATGATTTCAAAGATATAATAACCTGTTGCTTTTACTTAAAGATTGAAAAGTTTTCTTTACATTGAGTGATATTTAAATGTAAGAAGAGTTAAGTTCATACTGAAATGAATTACAGAAATGAAGTCAAAGAAGCTGTTCAGCATCTCTTAACTTCCTTACAATTGACTGTCCAAATTCGCAAAAGAAACTATTCTGAAGCCTCTACGTACTAGACCATTCTAATTCTTATTAGACAACCTATTTTATCATTCATGAAATTTCAATAGCGAAATTTTCAATTTGTTAACCTGAAACCATTTTTAATTTGATTAATTTTACGCTTAGTTTGTATATATATATATATATATATATATATATATATATATATTCAAAATGTGTATGACATCAAAGCGTGTGTAGCCTAGTTAACACTAGAATAATACATGTTGATGATTAATAAAGAATTATATATGTGCATGATAATAACTGAGGTATTGGATTTATGTATACTAATAGTCTGTAGTGGAACAGTCTTCAATTTGTAATGTCTTAAACAACGTTGTAAATGTTTATCGATTTTTAATTGAAATTACAATTTTAGGCACTAAATACATTTTATGTCCTAATGAGAAAGTCAGACGCTTTGTCATCAACGTTAAACATAATTATGTATATTTAATTCATGCAAGACATTTATCACTGAGCAATAATTAAAACATGCATTATGATTTCCGTCTTGAAATATGTGTAGGGTTGACACTACAGTAAAGACAATCTTTCAGGAGTCATTTCTATTTTATCTTATAAGGGTTCAGTGATATAGCTTATGAGTAATTAGCTGAATTATTTGAAAAAGAACTTAAGGGCAATTACAGGATTTCATCATGAGCTGACATTAGTTAGAGAATCATTGGAAAACCTGAGAGTACTGGACAGCTGTTTCGATCTAGTTTAGGACTCTTCTTCAGTACGCACCCACCGGGATTCGAATCTAGGTTCTTCTGGTTACAAGGCGAGCTCGTATGCCATTAAGCCACCGGGACCCGATCCAATGGTTCTCTAATCAATGTCAGCTCATGATAAAATACTGTAACCAATCAAAACCCTACAAACCAACGCTTGAATTTTAAGGTAATTAGTTCTGGACTGTTACAAACGAATCGAATATTCCGCTTTATTGTATCTAAATCCATCAAGTAATTTGAAGACCATGATATGATGTCTGTTCACTAGATTAAGTTTTTGTTAAATAAGATAATTTGTAACGAAGAAAGGAAATTGATGTGAAATTGTAATTTCATGTTATGTCGCTAACTGACATCACTTAGAGAACTACTGAAGACCAAAGAGTACTGGACAGAAGTTAGAATTAATGGGATATTTGGTCCCGTGCCAACGCCTGAATAGTCAACAGATTTTTTTGTCACGCGAAAGGTCCTGTATCCAACAGCCGATGGGGTTATAAATGATACTGATGAAGAGTCTCACAATGAGACAAAACAGCTGTTCAGTATCCCTCAGTTTTCAGTGACTGTCTACCCGATATCATTTCGAGATCCAACTTGAAACCAATCAAATCAAAGTAAACCTTAAAGACTGAGATTTTTTAATGTGTCCCCGTTTGACTGATATTCTTAAGGGATACATTGTTAGGGGAAATGACATTGTCTAAGATCAAGTACACTTTTCCATTCCAGTTATATAAAAACATTTTTTTAAAAATTTATTTAGATATTTTTAAACTTAATAACCTACTTCGATCAGTGTAAATTTTGGTCCTCCAACTTTCAGCATGTAATACATTGCATGAGCTACTGAAAAAGCGTGATCCCAATTATGATAAAGGATAGGACGATAATTTTTTCGTACAGTAAGTGCAAAACGATACAGTGTTGTCTCTTCAAACCTTCAGAGAATATCAGATTTGTAAAATTTTTTTAAAAAAATAAACAAAATAAATCGGTCACTTAAGACTGCTTTTTTTACCTGTAGGAATAACAGTATTCATAATAACCCGTAGATAGCTTCACATTTCGTTAATGTATAGCGAAATAAAAGCCCAGTCAATAATTACCCTCATTTGTTTTTCATGAACCAATTTCTATGAGACAGTTTTATATTACTGTAGATGTTTTACAGTAAAAATTCATTTACGAATTGATCAGCCAATTGAAATGACCAGGAAGTTCATTGATGAATTATGTTTTACCCAGAGGCGTTAATTGCTTCCCGAGAAAATGGTTATCTTCAAAAAGTCTAGGACGCTTTTGTATTCAGTATACAAACTGTGAATTATGAGGGAAATAAATTACAAATCGACAACATTCTGAACATAGCCAAATGAGCTTGTTTTTTGGTTGCCATTATGCTTATGATTCAATAATAGTAAAAAACAGATTTTACCTTTCTGTTCCCCCTTGTATACACCTTGTAGAAATAAATTTTTAGACCTCAGCCCTTCCATAAAAATTATGGTGTTAACAATGCAGAATTTCGTATCGTTGGTTATCGCGGTAGCATATTTAATTAATGCACTTATGAATTCTACAAAAATAAATTCGAAGATATTTTGAGCAAAGTATCAGTTGGCAGAGGTTGTTTCATCTACGTCAAGCTTGACTAGACACTATCATTCTCGCGGAGGCTATACAGCATTGAATTATGATTAATTCACAAAAGCTTGTGAATTTAAGGCTTCACGATTTTATTCACGAAAGTTTATTTTATGAATCATATTAATAATAACATTTTAATCATCTAGTAGTCTTTACAGTTATCATAGTCTAACGATGAAATGAGATTTGTTACATGTATACATGTACATTGATTAACTGATAAGCTTTGTAAACATTTGAGGTAGTCGCTCACACATTACATAATTAACACGGGCACAGATTTTTAGTAATAAAAAAAAAACTAACAAACAGTGAATCATTTTGTGGAATTACTAATCACAGTGTGTGTGTGTGTGTATGTGTGTTTTCGGTTTATTAAAATTATTTTGGTTAAATTTCTCATGGTTTAAAAATTAGATCAAGAATGAATTGCTCACTAGCATTTGATTAGCATGTATGAAAATATCATACACTGATTTGACAGAGATTTGGATAGACCTATTTGATGATCTTAATTAGACTACCTATCGATCAGCTGGCCATTTTTGATGTGAATACAATGAATATAAAGACGAAGAACTGAAATAATACATACTAGTATGTAACTAAGTGGGTGAAAAACCCTGACAGATGGAATGGTTTTCAGACTCTATACCTAAGTAAAATTATTTTTTTAAGTTGATATACTTCAGTTGTAATTATCTCAGATACTCTAACCTGAGTAATTTACATTTAATGAAATCACGAATCACACATTATTGTTCTTACAGAACTAAGCTCTGTATATAAGGACTAAAGATAATAATGATACTAATAATGTCTCGTATTCTTACCATCTATGATTTAACAAAGGGAATAATTCAGTCTTCAGCATCTCAGTGTCACGGTTTAATAACTTACAAAGCAGTGTTACCATTTGGGTTTATTAGAAAATAGATTAGGAGGACAGTGTCATTTATTTTAATTCGTCATTAGATAGTAAAATATGCCATGCATTTAGGCCTTTGTCTGATTCAGATTGAATTCTATCAGTCAAGTTTGTAATATGGGTCACCAAGCTGGGTGACTCACCACCACAGCGCAGCTTGAATTGATAGTAGATGTTTGGATGGTTGACTGACAGAATTTTAGTCTGCATCAAACGAAAGACTGAACATTTTTTACAATCGTATCCAATAAAACTGCAGACTAATTGCAAACCGGAACAGCTAAGCGGTGACGTCTCTGACCCTAGCACACTGAGTGACACGGGTTCCAATCTCAGAGAAGACATGATTTCCTTTGACGTTACAAATACGCCTTGGTGACTAGTAGCTAAAACCACGAAATCCCTGACCACTGCATCTTAACAACTCCAAACATCATTACGGATAAGATTTTATTTTGATAAATCACACACAGTGTTGTACAATTATATTAACTGATGACGTTTCGAGCACAAACTATTGTTCATAATCATATCAAGTTACTCACACAACTTTTTTTGAGTGTGAGTTACTTGATATGATTATGAGCAATAGTTTGTGCTCAAAATGTCATCAGTTAATACCACTGTACAACACTGTGTGTGATTTATCAAAATAAAATCTTATCCATAATGGAGTTATACTCTACCACAGTTCCCAAGTTTATACTTATATCCTCCAAACATGTAATGCGGTGTTGTGTTTTAGAAGTATGTGAGTAGTTCTGAAGTAAAAGAATCATAATTGATTTTTAGTCCTTTCAGTACAAAACATGTATGTGGCTAGTGAGAGGAAATTGCCATTTGTAGAGGACGCATTTTTGGTTCACGGATATCATTAATACACTTTAAGAGATAACATAGATTAGAAGTGAATAACAACAACAATGATAGCACTCATTTTATTTAGCAAACAATGAAATTTCGCTTGACATAATAGCTGAGACACTTTATGCTTTCTAGTGTTATGTGTCGTTTCACATATACTTAACAGATTTTACTTTGAGGTAGGTTAGATCTAGGTTTCAAGTAACCTTTTCTCTCAAACTACTAATATTTATTCTGCTTTGAAAGCAGTATGATATTTTTAAACAAGTACTCCACAGTAATCGCAGGAATGCAATTATTCATGTATGCTTGCTTTCTTGATCACTGTTTATGGTATCTAGTTGGTCGCATATTGTGATCTGAATTTATTCAACTGAATCCGTACATAATGCGAATTTGATCTGATCACGGGAATGTTGGGGGCGGGGGGCATATTTGTCATTTTATTTGGTCGTTTTATGTCTCAGTGTGACTGAAAAAACATACTGGTTATTTTAAACACAGCATATGCAACAGAACACAAGAAAATAAATTCCTAGAGATCTGTGTCACTGGGTGAGTCTGGAAATCAGTTTACCTCCTCTAAGGTTAATCAAACTAGTCCTGAAGATAGCATCAAGCCTGACTGACTTGCGCAATAGAAATTAGATGACCCTTCACTAATAATCTCAATATAAAAATGGCTGTGTTGATGCCAACAATTTATAAAATGAGTTAGTTTTAATTCGTAATATCTATGGAATCTCACTGAATATCGTTCACCTTTGCATAGTTCCCTGTTGATAAATTAACCAAGTGAATGATTGTGAAATTTTTTTCCACTGATTCTGGATTCACCTGACTTCAATACAGTTTAACTTTCGAAAAAGGCAAGAAGCGTAGAAATTTCAGGCTTTTACAAGTATTTTATTTTTTTATTTACAGCTTGATTCTACACTGTATTTCCGGTACAAGTATGGAATTTTCAGCATGGATATCGATAGCTCAAATTTTGTAGGCCGACCATAGATATCAGGTGTGCGTCGGCAGGGGATCGAACCTCGGACCATGTGTATGGTCGGCGACAGTCCTAACCACTGTACCACCGACGCAAGTTAGTTACGGTACCGCCACTGCGCAAAGTTAGTGCATTTCACGCATATTTACTAGCTTTTGAAATAGACTTTTCTTATCACATTTTGCACAGAGTTTTATGTCAACTTAATAAACACCAGTGATGCAAATAAATATGTCTATCCTTATTGTATGTTTCCGATTTTGTGCTCTCAACTAAGCATCGCAATCATCAAGAGACTGAAATGTAGCAAAATAAAACCTTGATCACAGAATTTCTGTGGTTATTGTATAGAAAGGGCATTTAATAGTGTCATTCTAGTGTAGTATATATATATATATATATATATATATATATATATATATATGGCCAAGAAGTGTGAAAAGGGTAATTTGCTGCATTCCATAACATTTGATTGCTACAAGAAAGATCTTTCTCAAAATGTTTTTGGCCTAATATCAATCTCCCAGGTTTATATATTCTTTTCCATATCCAACTTTACCACGATAATTTAAAAAACTAGTTATGAGATACATTCTCAAAATAAATCTTCCTAAAAGACAGAAATATTGAAGAATCAAACGAAGTGCTCATATGATTGACACTAACTTCGTTTACCCTTATAGGGTACAATATGATCACACTGGAAAGAAACTTCATGTAAGAAATCAGCCTTTTTTGATAAAAAAAAAACAAACAAACTATTTAATACTCTTGCAAATCAACATGATAAATTACAAGCTGTCACTTAGACTACTTATAACTAACTAAGTACAGTAAGGTGTCTTACGATAGCAGAATAAAGCATACCACCTGTGTTTTTAAATAAAAGTCACAGTGATTTTTTAATGTAATGTATTATGTGTGACGGATTACTAATACTTGGCAGATTGCACTTATTCACCATATCCTCTGCGGAAAGAGACTATTTTGTCATATTGCGTGTGATCCCTGAATTATCATCTTTGATCTTTCTGTATCATGAGTTTTTCGTAAGTGGGTTATCGCAGTTACAGACTCGGTCTTGTAAATATGAATACTCACATGTGTTTTCCCCCGAGTTCATACATCATATACACAACTGTTCCAATCTCTTGTGATTCTTCAACATCCCATGGGGAGAAATCATGACTAAATGAAAGAAAAAATACAGAAAGTTAACTCGTCAGAGTTATTGTTAGAAGGCATATTGAGAAATAAACATAATTATTAGAAACAATTCGTGTTCGAACTGAATTTCATTTTCTCTAAATACGCATGCATGATTCAATATAGCTAAAGCTTATGTGTATGAAGGTTTCTTTACAAACAGAGAATGCTTTCTGATCAATGATATTACTTTGATCAATTTTTCCGTTTGAAATGCACATATTTTTCAGTTTCAATGAATGACATTTGGACAATCTTATACAGCCAAATATCACAGTGTTTGGAGAATGAAATATTATATCTAAAGATCTGTTTTACAGAAAACATACTCCAGACGTCCACGTGACTGGATTACTTGCCTCTTTGAACATTGCTACACCCACTAATACAATGGCAAATATTATTATTTATTCTGATTTTAAAGCGCAAACAATCTGACTGGGACTAGGTGAATTCAAGAAAAAAAACATCTATACCTGAATGATCGACAGACAAACTCTTCAGAAACTCACATTATAGTTTAAGCCCTCTAATAGAAGATTTCAAAAAGATGATTTAATCTGTGAAATGTCGTAAACAAACTGTTATTTGTTGGCTTCATTTAAAAACAAACAAAGGAAAGATCATTCATTAAGTATTATCTGAGACTGTACAACAGGTGTGTTACAATACACACTCTACCAACTTACAGGGTATTCAGTTAAGCCCAAGGCCAGTTACAAAATGACAATAGTGCCTTAAAAATCCAGTTGGTTGTTAGAAATAATGCATATATTTCCAAAAAGGAATGACGGAAGAATGGATGGAATATTTTAATTTTAAGTGATACCATATTGCAAAACAAACACCAATAACTGACAAGAGAATCAAAGCACAAAGATAAGAAAAGTAAGAATTCCAAGATGAAAGCATGAGGCATTGTATTCAATACTTTGTCGTAACTATTTCGTATTCCCCTAAATGTAGAAAACCGTATCAAATGAATTTCAGTGCAAATGAGGAAATTTAGCAGTATACTTAGTAAAGTGTGAGTTCACTAAACGATTAGTATGTTGATTTAATTTGAACTCAGTTGGAAATAATACAATTGCTGAATCACAAATCAGGTGCGGTATCAACACCAAGTTGTGCAACACATAAAATTGTGGACAGCACAAAGAGAAAGTGAAGTAATGTAACTGAAAACCAATAGAACCATAACAGGTAAGTGTAAATGTCAAAAAATTCAAAGAAGCTGCCTTCACTTTGCATTACTTTCTGGAAGGGAAGATGTTGTGGAATAGCATCACGCTACCCAATGATTTCCACTCAAAACTACATCTGGTGACATACATAGCTACCGAATAATGTGATGTCGTATAAGCTTCTCACTAAACCATAATACACCAGAAGGCGCCAACCCAACTCAACTATCTTTCATTGCAAAGCGTCACCTCAGAGGACGACTACCTCTCCTCATTTCCCATTTAGTATTAGAGCTACCAAAGAAAGAACGATGTGTCTGCCACTGAGAGGATGTTCTTAGCATATTTCCATGCTACTGAAAACTATATTCACCATATCAAAGCACGCAGCCTTGGTCCTCAGGATCACTTACGAGGTGACATTAATGGATGTAAACAATTCTAAAGAAACCGTGACAATCGAACCTACGTTTCTTTCAAACGCACCTTGTAATTATTATTCGAAAGTTTGATGACCAGACTAATGCCATGATGGTGTCGAGAACGGTACAGACAGCCATTTATCATCCTTGCTTTAGCTGTAAAGTTCGTCCATGACACCTCCGTGGACACTCATACGACTATCTAGACATAAGAAATACTTGGGTAGACCTTTCACCTGCAGGGGTCAGCACAAGTACAGACTCCTTCCAATTCTAGCAAATTACTTTGTACTTAAGTGATGTAAAGCATATGCTGTACTTACGAACGCTAATCAATAACTGCTTAAGTGAGACTTAGGTTTTCATTGTGTTGTGACAATCTAAGGCGTTATTATTCGCTCACTCAAAGTCAAAGCTTTTTTTCAAGCAGCATTGAGCGTATCCTTCGAAGATGACATCAGACTCTTGTCGATAGCAGAATTAAAGAGAAATACCGAGATTTGGCAACCATTTCTCACGTGACGTGGTTCTAATAAGGATCACCAAAATGTTAACAGACATCAGAGATACTTTTTTTGCCAAACAAATTCAAACAACAGTCATGTGAAGGGAGTCAAGCGCATCCCTAACATCAAAAGAGACGATCACTTGTGTGTGGAACGTGTGACGACGTTCTAAAAAATGAAGAGGAACGAACGTGTTATCGACCCTCTTAAGAGCTGAAAAAAATCTAGCCTGAGAGTTACAGTTTTTCACTCAGAGGACGATAGGCACCAATGCTTCAGATGTAAATGGTAACAGGCTAATACTTCGATGAATATTACATGCATGATGTAGATCCTTCTGGACCTCTGTTTATATTGATGGATTGGTGTTTACTGACCATTGAGCACATTAGGCTTATAAAACATTAGCCGTATTTGTTGAAGCAATAGATTTTCAAAATAATCTGCCCATAGTCACGTGTGCACTCATAACATCGGTAGCCAGAAGCGTTACTATTTATTGGAGACTAGGCATGAGTTGTAGATGCAGGATACCAAGTAACATTGTGGTGTTGGCTGTATGTGAAAATGATCCTGATTAAAAAGAGGTTGCATTGTGTCGAGATCTGAAGAGTGAGGTTGCCTGAGAAACTCAGTACGCTGGTGACGGAATTCACCCTTAACTGGATTCGGGTTGCAACTAGTAAGTGTCTAACAACATATTACATAAATGTAAAGCTTCTCTGATCATCATCTGCTTTCTGAAGTGAAGTTTTTCAGCATCACACCACATAAACCTTTCACTTGAGTAATGCAACCTTAACCATAGCTCTCCGTGAGACGATAATAACTAATATACCCAACAACGATAACACAGTATTCTAAGACAAGCGTAAGACGCAATATTTCAGCTGAAAGATGGAGACGTTAAATGACAGCTTTTCTGAGTCTCCTTGGTGAACCATACATTAACAATAAGGTCTTTCAACGTTTTGTCTAGACTTGCCTGTGGGCAAAATTACATTAGTGGGTGAACTTTGCGGTGGCTGCTGCTGTCGGAAGGCCTTTTCAAGGCTAATGAAGATAAGGTGTAGGTTTGACTGCCATTTTACGCTCTTTTCTATGGAATGCATAGTACGGCGATTTGGTTCGCTCATGATCTGCTTCTCCTGAGTACACCCAGTTCTGGGCAAAACACATCATTTTACTGATTGATTATTATTTACTACAGTTTGAGTATCAAAAAGGGGAACATCGAGCAGTGGTATTATATATGAATTCAACATAAGGATAAAGGTAATACAATGGCATAAAACATTTAGCAAAGTAATGTTTAAAAATGAAATCGATTTTTATGCTACACATCTAATTGGTTTTTTTTCTAATCGAACCTGTAAAAAAGCCATTTAAATTCCTTGTTTTTAAATTTTTGCATGGAATATTTCAGCAAACCTGAAAAATTCATTATTCATCATATATGCGGACAAATTCATAGACAACACTAAAAACTAAACAAAAAAGTCGGCAATTTATTGAAATGGAAGTAAAGGAGGCTTAAAAAAACCTGTACGGCATACTTTATTAGTTTCTACTGGCTCACATTTAGGCAAATATTTACATGCATTTATGGGATATGTACGTTATTCACCATTACAGACCATTAATCAACTACAAAGTTTAGAGCTAGATTTTGAAGCAAATAATGAATTAAAGTGAGCATTTAACAATACGAAAATATCTTTTTTCCCTTTCTTGTCTGTCTACATTTACTTCATCTACAGATACTAAAAGGTGGAGTCGTTTGAACGGTATAGTAGGATAGTACATGGTTAACAATAATTTCAGTTGAATAAGTTGTGTTTATTGCGCTCATATTATAACAAGGAATAGACATGATGAATTTGATTGTATTATTGTATTGTTGACGAGCAATAAAATTTACGGTTGTTTTTGTCAGTTATTAGCATTGCAAAATTGGTGAAGGCAAGTGCATAATGTGATTTTCTAAAACAGTTAATTATTTCTGATGATGACACCAAGGGGAACACATGAACACATGAAAGGAATCAGGTACCTATCTATTCCTGGTATTGATTTCGGAACTGGTTTGTTGAGTGCTTCAACAACATCGTCTTCACTTATAGAGCTATGATAAGATAAGACTTCTAGTGCAACTCGATATTTCTTGTCAGAACGATAAATTTTGTCATACATCTGTTAAAAACAGAAGAAAAAAGGCAGAAGTAGGAATGAAACACAGTCATATAAACTGCTTTTTAATGTGAACACATGGGTTTTTGCAAGTCATCACTCTATCTAAACTGCCGTAAAGTTGAACCCATTTTCTATTCATGTTCTACACAAATCCGTCTCGTTTTCATATGCTCCTTCAACTATCCAAATTCTGTTATTTGCAACCCGTGGTGCCTGAGGTTTTAAATGTCTCCTCATGTCCATGACTTACTAAAATCTATTTTCTTACGCTGCATATAAAAGACTATATTTTCGGTATATAGTTTGTAGATAAATTACATGACAGTGGTAATACGCTTTTTATAAAGTTAAACTTTTGTTTGAAACTTTAAATTTTAATAGTTTTTTTCCTAAAAAAAACTTAACGTCATGTATATTGTTAACGTCTGACAGTATACTGGAGACTTTTTCTACAGACAATGAATTTAAATGAACTTTGAGGTCATAGGAAAATAGGAGTCTAAATATACCGAATAGTACTGATTATACAACTTCGGTTTAAGTTAACATGTAGTCGTAATTGATTGATTGCATTGAACCGAAATTCTAGGGCTCTGTTGACATGTCGACTCCTAATACAGATGCCTTATTGATGTCTTAAGTTTAGCATTCCGATTCAGTATAAACAGTTAGTGTTTAATACAAATAACCTCAAACAAATAATAACTGCTACTCAGTGAACAAGAGATGGTTCTCATGGTTCAGTGGTATAATAGACAACGACCTGACATCGTCACTACTTACTGGAAATGCAAGTGAGTCCAGTGGACGAAGTCCACAACATCACGAGATACACATCCTGGATTCTGCTGCTAATCAGTATCAACTAAACAACATCATATTGCTTTAGGTTAACTGGGTTTTTTTATACCAGCTTTATTATGATCTAATACATGTGTAAATTTCTCATGTGTTAGCACTGTTAACTGTTTTGTTTTGGGCTATTCGATAAACTCTAAGAACTGTTCTTTATTTCTTTGATAAAATCAAAATTTGTATCCACATAATCAGAGGGATTCAACACAATGTTGATCACCCACTAGTATCAGCTTAACAAAAATTAATAAGATATCTTTCTTTGTTTATAGGTTGTTTCTATAAATCAGATTGTAGATGAGTGTACCAACAGATATTGTCCACAAACCAACACAATCTGTTCATTACTTATTCTGCAGATTATAAACCACATAGCACAAAAAGAGAAATGTGACACCTTCTAAGAAATAAATTAAACCAACTGTGATTAACGCTAAATTGGCTGAAGTAAAAATCCATTTCATCTTTGCATCGAATAACATGAACTAGACATCGAAAGATATGACTTTTATCCCTTTATATCAATCTATGCAAACAACTACACACTCATATTCTACTGAAAAAAAAATCAAAAGAAGCGGAAGGGCTAAAAATGCCGGAAAAACTTCAGAAGACCAGTGCTCTTATCGGTCGACACTCATCAGAAAATAGATAAGGAACAAGTCAAATGTTGAAAAGTCTTGACGGAACGATCCACAGCAGTTAAAGTGAGTGATAGAATAAGAAAAGCTCTGACAGCTAGTTGTAGTGAAGGTCATCAGAAGAAACAGTTGCACCATTCATGATAAATTCTAAATACCTACTTCGCGATGAAGTTAGTGCTGAACATACTTAGGAAAAAGATCAAAGCTCGGAATTAAACTAACCAGCTGAAAGAAAATAACGACAAACAAAATTATGTAGTTTAAAATTAAAACACAAGTTTAATTTGTGATTCCAAAAGGGCTGCAGTTTAACTGCGACATTAGCTAATTAAATTCCAAGTATTATCAATTTAGTCCAAGTGCTTATCCATAATTAGAGTAGTTTGAACTAAATTGGCCTTTTAATCATTGGGTCATTTTGAGTGCATTGTTAAAGTGTTCAACCGAAAAGAAGGAAAATCGTCATCCGATGTTTCTAATAGTCAGTACCGATTAATGCAAGTAGTTTCGAACTACTTACACCAATTAGTAGTATTTGTCAACATGAATTACCCTATTGAAGACTTCAAAAATTAATAATTGAGGAGCGTTGATGGTTAAAAAAGTGTTTATACTAGAATAAAATGCTCACATCATATTTATGGAAGAAATAAATGAAAATACTAGTGGTAAGATTTTAAAATTAAATTGTGAAGAAACACTTTATTGAACTCATATGTCCATATCAACTCTGATTTTAACCATTTTCGACCTGTATACCAATCTTCGTCTCATTTACATGCTCGTGAAAAGTTAACTAGTGCAAGTACTGCGAAATTACTAACAGGAACTGAAATAAAATCATGGTGAAGTGTCACCTCAAAACTATATAGTACTTGAATATCTGACTATAGTTTGTATAAATTTAATATAAAGGCTTCTGTGTAAGACATTGATAAATCTTTTACGCTGCCTATCGCTATTCAAACGCTATTTGTATTTTATTTATTTCACTCATCAATATTTTAATTAATCATCTTATGCTCATTGGTATTGTCTTTCTGTGCTTCTTGTTCACATGAAATACCTCTTTATAATATCACTGCATTCAAATAAAAGTCTATGTCTCAGATTTTTCCATGTTTCCTTTCACTTAATCTTTTCTTCTGTGGCTATGTTTAACTCACAAATATGCACATCCACATCATTCTCAACCATATATATGCACACATATATATAGTCCAAAATGAACTAGGTATTTTTTGTCTTGGGCCGATTCAATATTCTTTAGATGAAAGCCTACAGTAAAATATTATACTAACCATAAAAGTGACCCAACAGAGTGCAGGAAGAATATTAACATTATATATATATATATATATATATATATATATATATATATATATATAATGCTAGGGATTATATATTCAACGACAGATGTGTATATTTCACTTACTTTTAATCGGATATTTTTATTTTAGCATCCTATGAAAACTATTTATTTCAGAGTGCAGTCAGTATAACATAGTTGTGCAGTAAGAAATTAACTGTTTGTGTAAACCTCCTACACACACACACACACAAATACTTAAGCAACGTAAATAAAAGCATAACATGTTTGACAGTATAACACGGTTATTTAAATATGCTCCATGTATTTGTCCCTTTACACTTCGTTCATCTGCATCTGAATATATATATATATATATGCCTTTTGTATAAAATGAAGTATTTTCATTTTTGTGAGTCAAAATAACAAAAAGTAATATTTTCTCCACAAAAGTTTTTCAGGTGCACTTGACCAGTGCGTATTTTATATCGGCAAGCACTCTGACCAATGTTTTAAATTAAATATACAAAAGGCATATGTGATTACAACTCACCTTGGCTATATTCAATGCAAGACCACAGTAAACTGAATACATTTTAAAAATTTGTTCATCATCTTCAGTAAATGATCCTTCTTCTTTATTCAGCAGTTCAACTACACCTAAAATGCTATAATCAATTTCAAGTAATGTAGTATATTATGAAATATTACACTTTTCCACCGAATATTGGTACAGCAAGTAGGGATTTAGTTTTATACCCACAGGTGACATCGAATCGATCACAAAATCTTGGATCACCACTCACATCATCTACGCGTATAGACTCCCCAGTCTTTGCAACATAACCAGCTATCCCCTCATTAACTGAAATTCTATGAAATTACAAGAAAATATTAGAATTTGAAATGTAAAAGTTATAATAAATGTGTTAACTGATTAATCGTTGTGCATGTGTGTGTTTAATTTTCTTAAAAATAACCTAATTGTTTTGCTTAAGTATATTTTCGAATTTTATAATTATCCATGTCTTGAACATCAGTAATATGCATCTGTGTAAGCACATCCAAAAAACTAGAAAACATAGTAAGTAGGGGGCAAGCGAAACCGTTGATTTTATTCTAACTTATAAAGCAACAACGCACATTTAAACCTAATGGGAAATTAGTAAAATCCTTAAAAGACCTTGTTTTTGGCTGAATAAAATGCAAGTGGAAATATATTATTGGCTTATATTATTAATGTCAGTTATTTTGCCTATAGCGCCTCTGTTAGCTAATTAAGCGGACATTAACTGCACACGGAGTAGCCGGAACAGTTAGTTTTTCGTTTCAGTAATACTAAGTAATCATTACGTGAGTGAAATCTTACTTTATCAATCGACAATTCATCAACTCTTTTATCTTTTCTGCTTACCTGATTTTCAAAACAAAAAGAATATAATTAAGGAAATTTTTATTCAAAAATTGTATGCATGACGTTCGTTTAAAAGCTCATCCATAAGAAAGTAAACGTGTTCATTTTTTATTTACAGAGGAAGAATGGTCAAAAATAAAGAATTCGTGTAAGCTAACGGTTGATATTTACAAAAATGTCTTTATCATTTTGTACTCCAAGAAATTAATACATAGATATCAGTCAAGCTAAACTATATTGGATATTTTATATACATGGAAACTTGTTTGAACGGTGTAATTACATAATACTAAACAAATCATACCACGACAATGAAAGTTACTCATTGGAGCAGGCAACACTGTTTTAAATAAGCCTAATAATGGGAAATGTTTTACTTGGTAAAATAACAGGAGCAATATTTATCATAATATTAAGCATTCTGATGGAATGTTCCCAACCATTGTTTTCATTTTCATCAATATTTCAGTGAAATTCATTCAAATTAATTTTATCAGTCACTAGGGCATACATGTTGACTAACTAAATAGTATTTTGTATAGCGATCAGGAAAATAATACTGTTCATCGCTGATCTAACGAGTCAAGCATGAAGATGTCGGCCTTAGGTGGGGTTGAAACTAGATATAAATAATCATATAGTCAAAAGGAGTCAACGCTTCAGGAAAAATGAACAAGAGATAAGCTAGGAAACTTTTACTTTGTTAAAGCTTGTGAGATGTCTATTTTGTGTGGATATATAAAGCCACCAATACTTGGATATTAAAGCAATTTAGTTTAACTTGCTATCTGCTAATTAGTTTTGTTCAGGCTAGTCTAACAAACATTACTTTGTATTCCCGAACTCTTCAATACTCAGCACATTTAAGTGAACCGAGTTGCTTGAAGAAATTTCTAGCAGTGAAAGCAATAGTTTTAATTTTATTAGTGGTTTAACTGTTACTCCGGAGTTTATGTATGTCTTTAAAAATCTAGGCTCAGTGTTTTGGTTACCATTTAACACACAATAATGTACCCTACCCTGTTTTAGCGCAATAAATGAAAATAATTTTATATTTCCTAAGGAATTTAGACTTGGAAGTTAATTGACAGAATTAATTTTAAAAGTGGTTTGTTGCAGCTAAATGTGATGAATTTTTCCAATAATCTGTAAAATTCTTATATCAATGAACGTAGTTTAAAACAATGATTAATTCAATGCACTGGCAGTGTAATTTGCATTCAAAAGACGTAGGATAATCAGTGAAGTGATATTTGAACATGTATTTGAAATAACTTAGTGACATTTTGTATACCACCAGCCACATTTTACTCAGTTCGCATAGTGCTTGCCTGAAGATTGCATTTCCTCGTTGTGTACAACAATTTTGAGTCGTGAGAGAATCGTACAGCTTTCTAACTTCTGTTTTATCTTTACTTCTATATATGTGATATAGTTTCATCTGAAACTACGACTGTGTAACCAGTCAATAAGGAATGCTGGATCAGTGTTGAAATGCTGAGTAGTGTACCTTAATAGACATGTGTAAATCGAAAATTTATTCACAAATTTACTAAATGGATCTAATGGGTTACTGAACACTGACACGTTCCATTTACCACAACATGGCCGTTCACGAAACTAAGTAACCTGAGTTAAAAATTGCATTTATAAAAGAGAAATCAAGCTAAAAGACAAGTGAGCCGTAATACAAAAATGGAAATGTATTTCGGTCTTTCCTATTAACTGCAGGAAACGTGCTACATGAATGTATCATGAAAAATGGCTTATTAAAGACGTTTAGTGCATGAGGGTAAAGTCTGAACAACATACAGAACTTTGGTAGATCGAAAGCCGTGACAGTTTGTGGTACTGGATTAAAATAACCGCCACGTCGAAAACAAAGGTAACAAGGCTTAAATATATCACCTTTTGTTATCTAGTTTTTTTGCGTAATCCTTTTTGAATTTCTCTCAGTCTTATATTTTTCGGTATTTAGGTGCTTTAGATTTCTGTGAATGCTTGAAGAGTTTTGTTTGTTTCACTTAACAGCAGTAGACTTTGAGTGATCAGAATTTTATCGTGACATATTTCCCTTCACTAAATGCTTCTAAAATCTTTTTTATATCTTGATTTAGTGTACCTCGAATTCTGTGGTACAGCAACGATAAAATCTTATCAAGATCAATGAAGCATTTGAATTCAGAATAATTAGGAAGATATGTGACATACTTAATGACTAATATACATAAGGTGAAGAAAAAGAGGAACCTAGAAGAAAGTTTATTCCTACTCGAGAGTGCCCAGTATTTTGCATACAAATCAACATATTAAACAAGAAAATGGGTATTGAATACCGGCTGGAATAAGAAATTAATCTCTTCTGATTTTCATTGGAAGTTGAAGTGTATGGCAAACCTTGATGTGAATTATACTGTGTCGTCACGTTATGGAACTATGTAACAATGAAAACGCTTCTTAATTTGGGGGAATCCGGTGCTGCAGTGTTTTAAAGATTCATAATTTTTGGTATTCAATGGCTCTCTGTTAATATTGTTCTGTGATAAAATCGAAAAAGAAACAGTTAAATTGTTTAAAAACCAACAAACTAGCTAGTAAGTCACCTTATTGCATTATCTAGATCTTCTGCAAATACAGTCTCTTTTAAGTTTCCAATATCTTTAATACTTGAATATAACTGGTTTTTCTTCCAGTCTGCTAAAAATAGAGTGACCCGATCAGCTCTGACTAGATTTTTGGCATGTATCTGAAATTTAATCCAAAGAGACAACGTTCAGCCGTTATAGACATCAGAAAATAATAAGGAAATGTTTTACACGTTTAAGAATCTTTTTATAGTACTGAGTTTTATTGAGTACATTCAAACAATATTATTGGTATGAATCTTTTATTCGTAAAAGGAGTATGCACATGTTCTCTAAACAGCCACTTCTATTTTGAAAATGTAGACAACATCCTTATTTTCTCGTATAATATCGTATTCGTACTGAGCAAGTGATTAACGATTATGCCAGACCCTTCTAATCATCTTAACATCCTCATTCACACAATCACACCAGACATATATGCAAGATTATTGCAGAATAAACTACTGTTAAAAGACTAACAATAGAATGTTCAGGTAAGTGTTTGAAAAGAACAAACAAGATACATGAGTACAGTGAAAAACACAGAAATATGGTAACCTATAGTGAATGAAAAATAAAAGTGAAATAGGATTGATCGGTGGCATAGCGGTTAGGACTCTCACCGACCATGCACATAGTCTAGGGTCGACGCACTCCTTTACCTGGCTGAGGGAGAAATAATTCTGGCAAAGAGGAAGGGTTGGGCATGAGGCTAGCAACCCCATCCTGTAAAATAAACACTGCTACAGAAACTTCAAGCCAATAGCTTGGAGCCCTATGTTCCACTGGGGAACGTGAAGGAAAAATAAAAAATAAAATAGATAATAGAAGTATACTAGAGACTAGGAAACAAAAAAAACAATCACATCATAAAGAATTTTTACCATATTTAATTCAAGATAACTGGCACTCTTTTCTGCACAAAGAAATTTAGTCAATGCACCACTATAACACATGTTAGGGTAATTGAAAAACTTTGTTTATTTTATCCTTTAATGACTGCAAAGAGTCTGGTGTTATGCATGATTTGGTCTCATTCAATTCATTGAATTGATATTATGCTGCATATGTCTTTTTGGTAGGTAATCATTTCTCCTAAATTATTGATGTTTTATCTGACATAAGTGCATTTCTCATGACCTGTTTATCTTATCGAAAATAGAATTGGTGTTTCAAGTCACCTGAGTTACTGAATTACACATTGAGTAATATATATAAGGATGACAAACAATACTGAACTTTAACTGTTTTAGAATTGTGAATAACGCTATGATTAATATGTATGTATGAATAGTAGCAGTCATGATAGTTATGATAGAGATGAATCCTAATCCTCTTTAATGACAGAGATTAGAAATTTGTTCTTGTACTAAACACCGGTATCACGAAACCAAGACTAACAAACGCCACGACGTGACCAAAAAATATCAGGGCATTAAACACTAAAAGTGCATTTAGCCAGTAAATTAAGTTTTATATATATGCATGATGTTCATTGATTCCTTGGAACTAATCACCCTTTCCAGTAGCAGTAACAATGGAAGTTATTATTTTGTTAGCATTATTTTTATAGTGTAGATTGTTTCCATCAAATAATGATTATGCCGATACAGAATCATTTTAGGCTGCTGTATATAAATAATCAGTTAAGTCACTTTAGTAGATATTAGTTTATATTGTCTCAAACTCGTTTCCAGTAGTGCAGATGCGCCAAGTCTTTATGATCTTTCAGATTAATTAAAAACCTAATTATTTTCTATAAGTGTAAAACTTGGGCACTGTGGTAGTAAGTAATTCCATATTAGTTTGTTTATTAGATATATCACACAGTGAAACAGTATTATTTACTGGATGACGTTTCGAACAAAATTTATTGTTCATAATCATATCAGTTGTATATCATATATTTTTTGATTTACAGCTTGATTCCACGCTGTATTTTCGGTACAAGTATGGAATTTTCACCATGGATATCGGTAGCCCAAATTTTGCAGGCCGACCATAAATATGAGGTGTGCGTCGGCAGGGGATCGAACCTCGGACCATGTGCATGATCGGCGACAGTCCTAACCACTGTGCCACCGACGCACATGTCAAAGTCGTGTGATTACAATTGATATGATTATGAACAATATAAATTTTGTTCGAAAGGTCATCCAGTAAATAATGCTGTTTCACTGTGTGATATATCTAATAAACAAACTTATATGGAACTAAGTATTTTCTCTTTAAATTTTTCTATCTTCCATACGCATCTGTTTACAGTAGTCTTTTGCATTTCTATTTTTTCTTTATCTAGGGTAACTTGAACTTCTGCACTTTGGCGCAAAGTTCAAGATTAAAAAGTTGAGTGATTTTCATACTTTTCATATTGTATTTTCATTCTAACAAGACGGTTAGGTTTTTACAGATTTAACTGCGTTTAATTGCGAATAAATGTTAGCTACAAAAGCCATTGATAACTGAAGCACTGCTTTCCTTTAGGGCTGCTAAGCGGTATACACTGACTAATTTGCAGTAGATAGAGCCCTTCGTGTTGGGATTACACTGCCAGCACATTACCATTCAGCCAATTAGTCGAGATCAAATGACCTCTTGTATTAAGTAAAATACAGTTTCACAAAGTAACTAGGCTATTTTAAATCTTATTGGATAAATTTTTGGATGAATGTGCAACATATAATCAGGTTTTTCTCGAGTAGTTTTTGATAAAGGGCTTTGAGTAGATAATGATATATTTTTTCCCGTATTTCAGTAACAGATGCAGGCTGATTATTCATTCACCTTCAAAGAATAAAGACAGTAGTGTCGACTCATCTGCTCAGAGATAATGCTGCCAAACAATCCACTCTCTGATCTAACGTACCTTCCTCCATATTATGTATAAAAGCCATCAGTTACTGGTAAAAAGTATGATGTCATCTAAGAATCTGTTCATCACACCTATTCAAGAAAATATTATAATCGTCCAACATATTTCTTTCCATCATTGAATTGAAAACCAGAACTTACCATAATTGTTTTAATAATATCATCCATTTTGTTGACTTGTTGAAATAAGCATCTTGAATAGAAACATGAGTATAATCGGTTAATAGTAATTACTAACCAGTATCTTGCTTTAGTTAAGCAAAACGGCAAGAGAAATAGCTAACCTTGCAACTTCCATTATAAAGTTTTCAACAATTTGAGTCCTTTGAAGTGTGACGAATTTCTAAAGAAATAATACAAAGTAAAAAGTATAAAGTTCCATTAGTGAACAAATGTAAAGCGATTAATTAAATCTACATTATGATAGAGGCCTCCCCTCAGATCATCACTTTAAATTGCCTTAAGTTTTTTATAGTGAAAGATAAGTGCTTAAGATACCAATCCTAGATTAAAATTATCCTGGCAAAACCCAGGAAGCATGCAAAATAACAGAAAACCCTGTTATCAAAATTGTTGGAGGAGTGAACTCACGTTCAAACCGGAGAAACACATAATCCAGGATATTTGGATAAATCAAATAAAAAATAAGTAGTGAGGAAACGGCGAAGCTGAGAATAGTATATTCATTATTTCCAATATTATTACTGATGAATTTGTTTGTCCTCAGATTTGAATGTATTTGAAAAAATTGCCAGACAAAATATTGCAGTGTTGCCTCAAATTGCTTAGACCTTCTCAAACACCTTAATTAGGTCACTTACTTTGTGAGGTGATAACTTGTTTTCCAGGACACTAAAAGACTCCCTCTAACTCAGTCTCTTGTTTCCAACATTCTATTTTCGAGTATTCACTCCTTTGGTACTCATTATTCCAAGTCAAATAACTTCCAGTTTTAGACTGAAAAGTAACATTATACTAAGATATTACCCGGTGCTGCATGTGGAGACATATAGGTTACTTATGCATCAGGTGTGTTTAATTTATTTTCAGATGGTAGATTTACTGAGTTTTAAACAGATAAACGTGGATGTCTTGATATATCTAAATATACAGATTATAGGATTTGTGGGGATTCTGGGTTAATTTCATTAGTTTTATTTTCGTTATGAATCAGTATCGTCTGGAGAGATCATTGAAAACTAGTGAACAGTGGACAGGTATTTCGCTCTATTTCGAGACTGTCCATCGGTGTGCACCCAGGACTTCATGAGGGACCTAAATTGCTACTTCCTGGTTACAAGGCTTTTCCCGTTGATTATTCAGACACTTAGGTAGGGATTCACTGACCCCTGGATTCCAACTTTTTCAACTGGTGATATAGAGCTACCCTCACCAATGCTATCGATATGCACTTGATTCACCTTTACATGGTGAACGGCGTTGGCCACGACTTCCCACTGTAGCTTCAGAAAACCCATACAGTAGCGGCCAGAGAGCTGCCGATTGATACTAAGATTATAGGAATTATGGAGAATCTAGACCAATTTTATTTGCTTGATTAGTCGAAAATCCCTACAAATTCTATAATCTAAATACCAATCTTCAGCTTGCTGATGGTTGCTGTAGCAATTTCCTGAAGCTGGACTGTAAAGCTGTACGTTAGCAAAGACTAACTCACTGTTCATTGAATCACAAAGAATGAAATTTCCAATCATCTAGTGAACATTGGATATGATGTAGTAATGTGGTAAGAGCTGGCTGGTGGACAGAGTTGGTAGACAGTAATTTACATCAATATTTATGTCCCCAATATTGGTCATGAGAAAAGTGAGAACAAAGGCTTTGCGTATGCGGATGCAGTTAGCATATAGATGATCTGACATTCAAGAAACAGCCACAAAGAGATGAAAGATTAACTTTCAGTGAGAAACAACCAATCAGAAGACTGTTTTTCTGCTAACAATAATCTGTAACATGTACATGAAAATCTATAAGTATATGTTGATTTCGTAAATAAACGATCTGTTGCTTGGCCCTTGTCTTCTGTTGTTACAGTAATAAAGTAATATTTTTCACGTTTAGTTTTTGTAGGGATTTTTTTATTGTTTGGGGGATTTCATCATGACCTGACATTGGTTAGAGAACCACTGGAAGACGTGGGAGTAGTGGACAGATGTTTCATCTTAGTTCTGGGACTTTTCATCGGTACGCACCCGCCGGGGCTCGAACCCAGCACCTCCTGGTTACAGGGCGAGGTCGTAAACCATCGAGCCGCTGGGACCTGATCCAATGGCCCATAATGAAGTAATAATTTCGGGACTACTCATTTATCCCAATTACTGATGCTTGACTTTTGGTAGAAGTAAAATAAGAATGATGTAGAGAATGAGTGCAGATGTTATAGGGTGAATTAGAATCGCCAATTTTTGTGGATACCACTAGTTGGCACCACCCGTTGTCCTACATATTAAATAATTTTTTTAAGTCTTTAGTATATGCTGTCATTTGTATTCTTGAATTGTTTTTACTGATTATTTTGAGCATAATAATAATGCTTGATAGGGCTGTGCAACACACAGATTACGGAAACAACGCTCACTATGACTTACTTCGTTACTTCTTAAGAGACGTTCTGCCCAGTGTGCAAATTTTTCAACCAGCTATGCCAAAAAAAGAAGGAATGCTAGTATAAATTTCTGATGTAGAAGTCAAGTAAGCAATCACTTGGAAGTATTTTCAGGACTCATAGGTCTCTACATTCTCTTTGACAAAGGTTTACTTAACTCAGAAAATATGATGAGAGTGCCGGGATATGATATTTGAGAAGTCATCGCCCAAATATATACTTTCGGATTTTGTGATTTATAACCGAGTATTCTAAAATTAAAAGTACAACTAGGTCATCTCCCAAAGGTCAAGGTATTGGAATGTAGTCTAAATCTATCAGTAACCTGATTAGTAGCTGGGTCTCATAGGTCACATGGAGAAACACCCAAATTATTGATCCTGAAGGTCGTTCGTGTGCATATAAGGAGGAGAAAATGATCCGGAATTGACTGACCAAGAAACTACACAAATATGTCTAGAAGTAGGGGCTGCAGAAAAATAAATGACAAAAGTTAAAGAAACGAAAGCAGCTCAGCAGTATGTAATTAATAATTATCTGTTATATTAGCTTAGTGATGAGCAGGAACTATAAAAATAATGGCGAGATTTTCATAAATAAACGAACTTGATTAGTCTCTAAGAACAGATAGCAAAACGCTGGATTAAAAATGTAAAGAAGTTCGACTGGTACACATCAGCGTTAAGTTTTATGACTGATAAACCCCAAACTTTAAAGGAAGCTAGAACCGGTCTTCTGTCTAAGTTTGCTAAAACTGTCCCTAAATTTGCAGATCATTATATATTTAATCAAGAAGTGTCTAAAAACAGTGGGAAGATAATACGTGAAATATGTAGGTCAGATAATTTTGATAAACTGGTGCTGGTGTATGATCACCCAATCTTATAAGGAAAGAAAAATCGACCTAAAGCCTATCGAATTCATGATGTTTTTTTTGAACACAGAACATATCATGGATGAATACAAAGCCGTTTTGGCTTATAATAGGTGAATACTAGTCCGGTGTGATGAAGGCATCAGATATGAAAATGAACTAAGTAAACTAAAACTGATGAAAAGAAGAATGGAAAAATTACCTTTAAAACCAGTCATATTTAAAGATATTAGATGGTTGGAGGCAATCAGCAGGAAGCCTCAGACCTAGGTTTCGTGCTAGTTGGCACTCGTCAGCGAGGCGTTTCTGCAACCTTAAAGGAAATCGTGTACCTCCTGCCTATTCTAGAAACAGTTTCATTATTAAATTTTGCATAAATTTTGTACTAAATTGAGAAGCTAAATTAGCACTGTGTATACAGGTTATCGTGCGTCGGTGGCACAGCGGTAGAATGCCGCGCATGTTGTCCGAGGATCGATCCCCGGCTGACACACTCCTTTACCTCTCTAAGTCAGTAATTAGACTGGTAAAGAGGGAAGGTTGGGCAACTTTAATCTCGTAAAAAATAAACACCACTGTTACAGAAACTTCAGGCCTCTAGCTTGAAGCCCTATGTCCCACTGGGAACGTAAAGGAATTAAAAAAAATACAGGTTGTCATTTTAAAATATATTTTATCTATAATCAATCACTTAACGCAGTATGATTTATGTGAATGCTTAGCTATTAAACTTAATGTTCAAACTGTTTTCATCATTCGTTTAGCTGTTTACTTATTCTGAACCACAGACTGGCATCAACTTTTATTTGGCACTCGAATCAAATAAATATTTCTAGTCTGTAAAATCTCTAGAATGGTCAAATTAAAGCAAATCAAATTGTTACTTCATCCATTTCTTCAATAGACACCAGGATGAAGTAAATACAACATGTAACAAAGTGTAAGAAAGTATGGGAAGCTTTCAATTTACTTTAGATATGTCCGAGTAAAAATCAAATTCTCCATAGACAAAAAATTAACCAAAGTACCTGTTTCTCTGATTCAATAAAGGATTGATTTTTACGATAGAGTTCCACTATTCCTGAAAAAAAAATGAAGTGTGAAACTACACGAAATTTTATAAATATTTATTGGTGAACTGAACTGATAATTGTGTATATAGGCTTTCGCTTTTAACCACTTCATATTCTATCAAAGTAAACTCTGAAATAAAAGTGACAAAATAAAATGAAAGCCTAGCGGGAAAAATCTATTCGATTTCTAGCTTGAAATCAGAATATCCAGTTTATACTCAAATATTTACGCCACATTTTTATTACTAATAAAATAAGAACACAAAACAAACTATAGAAAATAATAAGTAACGAAATCATTTGTAGACCAGACAGATTTTAATTAAATTTAAATTTAATTTTTCGTTTTTATTAGTTAGTCCATTCTTAAAGTATACTTTTCATAGAGATTTTTGAAGTTTTTTATAATACCAGTCTAATGAGGATATCGACTGCAGATGGAAAGATTTAAGTACTTGAACTTCTTTTTAACGGCATTATTATGCGAGAAGTTACAAGAAGCTAGACTCTAGAGAAGTGGTATATTTATCTGATAGGAAATTACTACCTAGTTATCATTACTAATTGATGTCAATAGTTCACATATGCCAAATTCACTCAACAGATTCTGTAAAAGTTATTTCTTTACCACCAAAAATTTAAAATGGAATCCCAGCAGAAGAAAAGATACTTATTCAAACTACCAAAGAAAGGAGACTTAAGTCAATGTAAAAACTGGCGTGGAACTATACTCCTGTCCATCCCAAGCAAAATACTAAGCCACATCATCCTGGAGAGAATCAAACACACCAACCTGGATGAAAAACTCCGACCGGAACAGGCTGGGTTCAGGAGAAACAAATCATGTATTGATCAAATCGCCACTCTACGGATCATCATTGAACAAAGCTTGGAATGGCAGTCACCTCTCCACCTCACTCAACTTCATCAACTTTGAAAAGGCCTTCGATAGTGCTGCATCGATCGAGTGGCCATTTGACAGCTACTTCGCTACTACGGGGTCCCATCGACAATTATACATCTCATCCAACAGTTATACGACAATGCTGTATGCCAAGTAATCCACAACGGGAAACTTACGGAAGCCTTCGAAGTGAGGACGGGAGTGAGGCAAGGCTGTCTACTATCACCAGTGATCTTCCTGATTGCAGTAGATTGGATAATGCGACAGACAACGGCAACCAACGAGGGAACAGGCATAAAATGGACTCACACAAAAAACTTGGAGGATCTGGACTTCACCGATGATGATGTATGTCTGATTTCCCACAAACTGGAAGATATGCAAATGAAAAGTAACAAGTTGGCAGAAGAAGCATCAAAGATAGGACTTCCTTCAGGTGAACATAGATAAAACGGAGGTGATAAAGATTCCTGGCCAACACCAACAGCAACAACAACAACAGACGACAGTTAGCATAAATGGGAGGAACCTGAAAGAAACAACCTCCTTTACCTACCTGGGAAGCGTCGTTTCAAATGCAGGCAGAACTGACGAGGATATCAAAGCCAGAATCGGAAAAGCAAGACAGGCTTTCATTACTCTTAAGTCTGTGTGGAGGTCAACAGCACTCAGCATCAATAATAAGATCCTGATTTTCAACTCCAATGTGAAGTCAGTGCAACTGTACTCATCAGAGACTTGCACTGCGCGTCATAAAGAGCATCTCAAACAAACTTCAGAACTTCATTAACAGTTGTCTTCGCTCAATACTCAAGATCAGATGGCCGGCCAGAAAAGATCAGCAACAGGGATCTCTGGCAATGAGCGAACCAACACAGCAGGAACCGATTGTGCAACAAATAGGCAGGAAGAAATGGAGATGGATTGGCTGGCCATACGCTGAGGAAACCATTGAGTGACATCACTAGACAAGCCATCGCTCGAGTGGAACCCGAAAGGGAAGCGGGTGGCGAGTTGGTCGTCAGTGATAGGGTGGGGTGACTTGGAGGAGGTCATGTGAAGAGGAGATGAAAGCATGTGGACAGACCTGGAGCGGAGTGAAAAAGTTGGCAGAAAACAGAAGGGAATGGAGGTGCGCAGCTGAAGCCCTATGTTCCTCTAGGAATAAAAGAATAAAATAATAATAATAATTACAAATTCAAATGTAAAGTTAATTAAATGAAATCTAAATCACTGCTTAGATTTCCATAGAAAATCATTGAAAAGAATAATAATAAAGAAGAAGAAATTACATGATTACTATAGGTCAGTTTAAATTTCCGCCAATTTTAGCCATGGTTATTGATATTAATGAGAACTTCCTATGCGTTTACTTTATTTACAGATTACTGGAGAACGTAATGTTAGAGTAGTCAAAAGCCATAGACTGATGGTATCCAGTATGCTGACAATTTATTCAAGTAAATTAAGGTGTTTTTGTCACACTTTTGATTGATTTTTCACATTGTGTATTTGAACAACATGGTAGCTTGGTGGATACGACCAGTTCAGTTAATATAGCTTCTTAATTAACACTTACGACACAATTTTTATGTAGACAAAAAGAGAAACTTGCTTGAAACTGATTATAGGTTATGAGTAATACCTGTCTCAGTGATACATCAAAAGCCTTATGAAACGGGGAGGTCAGATATTTCTACAGTTTTGAAAATCTAAAGCTATATAATAATCACGATCAAGAGAGAATAGTTGCACACATAGTTGCTAGTCATAATCTTGTTGAAAGTAACACAAACATTCGCTTTTCTCCAATCAAAGCTGTTCCATATTATAACCATATTAAAACATTGTTTTTATTCATTAATTTCAATACCATTATGACAGTAATTTTAAGAAGGATGCCATATAATACGCCTACCTATAGTTTCTCCGTCGCCATTCTTGAAAGAATGAGCAAGAACATGATTGGCATTAACTGATGCCTCAGATGTAATCACCTTATCGGCAGCCTTCTAAAAAGTAATGAAAAACAATCCGAAGTATTTTGGATATTTTTATGTGTGATTCTATAAAATTATTCACCGCATTGTTATGTTTTCAGACCCTTAGGACCGACTCAATTCCATAAGTTTGTAATATGGCTAGCGAGCTGATCTGAGTGACAGCATGCAAACATTAGTTCCTTCAGTGTTGCACATACACATTGTCTAGATTGCCATTTATCTAAGATTTATATTGGTGCACTACTGTTATATTAATTGTATTATGTATACAATAAGAATCTCCATGACTGGTAATGACAAGTAATCAGCAGAATGCCATTTGGTAATGGAATAACTGTTGGCCTTCAGCAGGTTTTGCGACGTTGTACACGACAACTTAGTTCACTGGTAAAATATGACACCACGGCTGAACGTGAAATGCTGATTTTCGTGCGTATTACCGATGACATTTATAAATTTTAATATCTCTTCTGGATAATAGTCGTTCTGTCGACTTTAATAACTATTCGCTTTCTGAAATATTCACTTTTATTAATTTGCATACCTATCTACAAGAGTAACAGTATTTACTAAATATGAATTTTTAGACGTAAATTATACTTTGGGTAGTTGTTAATTTCTCTGTACTTGAAAACGTATTTAAATTGCGCGAGTGTAACTGATAACGATAAAAAAAGCTAAATAACCGTCCCAATCTTTTCAAGAAATACTTCTCATCAGAACATTTATTATTCGTTTCGAGATGGAACTCAGGAAATGCACACTGTATTCTCTGTAGACTAACGCTAAGTTCCCAGACTAAAACATAGTTTTTAACAAAACTGTGATTGGTATCCAATCCTTGATTAGTCTTCAGTCAAACAAACTGAGAATTGTTATCTTCTTCGCGAAGAACAGGGTGATTCTATCATTTATCGAATTGATAACATATTAAATTCTGCTTAAACAGATTGACTGATTTGTAAAACTAATGTCGAGTTAATGAAATTCAGGTGATCACTAAAGTGCTTCATGGATATAGGAATTAATTTGTTAAGATGTAGTGATAAATAATTTCTCGGAATTATTGGCCTACAGTTTTTATCATTCAACAAGCGACTCTGACCTGTACTGTTTAGCTCAAGTGATTAAGGTAGGTGATCAAGAATTCCTACTGTTTGGCATGGTGTAGTGTTTCTCTCAGTTTTTCGTGCACATAATCTAGTTAGCTAAGAAGACGTCACTCTAATAAATTTCTGATCCCAAAATATAATTCCTAATTTAGACGACCAATTTTTTGTACCGGATTGGATTCCTAATAGCTTTCTGGTCACAAGTGCTTTGGTGGTTTGAGAATACATACTTGGGTAAGCATGAAACCGTAATTTGTGTACCCCCTAAAGTTTGGTGTAGGAAGGTAATACGACTATGGTTCCAAATAAATGTGTGATCATTTATTCGCTTGTTAAAATGACATAAGAGAATGTTCTCCTTATGCCTACATATCATTTTCTTCAGCTTTTTAAATTATCTGTAACACTTGCATGAACTCATAAGCTAGATGTTTTTTAAAATTTTCATAATAAATATTCTTTTACCTTAGGCGCAAACTCCCATGAAATCAGGCGACCGGATTCAGCTGCATGCCCTTTGAATGGCTGACCTGACTGAACACTTTGAGAATAAATGGAACTGCTGCGTCCTAGTCTTTGGTTTCATTAGTTAGTGTACATCACTGCTTACCTAGACTGGTCCTCTGGTTGCAGGTAAAAATTTTCACCTTGTTCTTCTTTTAAGTACAGATTTACGCCATCAACTGAGATTACTGGGAAAACAAATAAACAAAAGAGCGATTCATCAGTGGGACATCACCGAGTAGGATTGCATCAGTTCCAGGTGTCTTAGATCCACAGAATGTCTTTAAGTGCTAAGGAAAATTAAAAGTGAATGGGAATATTTTTAATATCTACCTAACCAACGAGAGATTAGAAGTGAACCCAGTAGATCAATGGTAACTCCCTCCTCTTGTAACCTGAAAGATTTGGTTTTCATTTTTTATGCAGTCATTGATGCATAATGAACAAGCTAGGATTAAACTGCTGTCCAATGCTCTCTGATATTAAATAATTCACTAACTTGTGTACCTTCGTCACAAAAGCTATAGTGAGGTTTTGTAATAAGTTGTAAACAGTGGGCAATAAATACAAAGAGTAGCATTTAGAAGATCGGAACTGGAATTCGGTATGAACTAGGACGTTGTGGAGTATATCCACAGAATGCAATATAAGAGATTCACTTGCATTAGTATTACCAAAATGATGCTAGATCTTTAGACTAGGATAACAAATACTTCTTGTTACTTCTATACAAAGTTTAATAAAGTATATGTATATATAACCTCGCCTAGTTTGCTAGCTCGCTACTTTTCTAGCAAGTCCCACCTCCGGATAAAGAGGTAAGGTTGGGCTTGGAGCTAGCAACCCTACACCATTAAACCTGCCGAACTGCCATAGAAACTTCAACGCACAAAAATACACTGAAAATACAAAAAATTCAAATAACAATCTTATTCTTCTCTGGAATCCGAGAGGCAAAATAACAACTGGTGGACAGTAATTTACGTCAATGTTTATGTCCCCAGTATTGGTCGTGAGTAAAGTGAGAAGAAAGGCTTTGCGTATGCGGATACAGTTAACGTATAGATGATCTGACATTCAAGAAACAGCCACAAAGAAGTGCAAGGTTAATTTTCTGTGAGAAACAACCAATCAGAGGACTGTGTCTTTTTGCTAACAATAATCTATAATATGTACATGAAAATCTATATGTGTTGATTTCGTAAATAAACGATTTGTTACCTGGCCCTTGTCTTCTGTTGTTACATAACTGGTTAAGATGGGTAGTGTAGTGAAATACACCTACTACTTATAATGGCTTCGCTTTATAAGATAATTATGATGTATCAATCTGACCTACAAACGCAGACCACATTCTTCTCGGAACTCTTTCTAATCCTTTAAAGTTTTTTTGTTCGCATCACAATTTCTGAGATATGCAGAAAATGGAAACAGAATTGTATGTTCTCATTTCAAAAGTTTCGAAAAATCACTGAACTGGTCAAATTTACCTGTAAATCTATGCTTTATTTTGAAAATAGGTTTAAGCCAGCTGTAGTTCACCTCTTTAAGTAGAACAATAGTCTCAGAATTAGATTCCTCACAAGTCTTAACAAGTCTATGGCTTGTTACTAATATTTTACATTATAGAAATTGATAGCCAATATTTTTATAATATGAAGTTAATACAGAACTAAATTTGCAGTCAGACTATTTAAGTTTCCCTATGGAACTGTTCAGCTCACAAGCATGCATAATATACCTGTAAGCAAAAGTATTTGAGTTGCAAATTATCTTAGGCAGTCGTTTTTCCCTGTAAATTTTATACATTTTTGTGACGTATACGCTTTGAAATAGAGACTTACTTTCTCTTATTGTTTTCGTTAGGTCTGACAATATTAATGTTTTATCTGCAACACCCTTTGTAGTTGCTTTTAATAACTCTGACTGAATTAAAGTATAAGGTTGTAAGGGAAAATGGGGAGAAACGGATGTTTGCAAATCTGCACTATATTCAACCGTTACATTTTGATTTGAGTAAGAAGAGTTATATGCGCCTTGTATGACTGGTTGTGATTCTGATGTACAATCCACTCCTTCAACTTGAATATCTGCATTACAAGAAAAAATTCCAATGTTTTAAAAGGAAACAACTTAATTTTACTGGCATAGAAACAAATAGAATTTTGAAGTCACGCTCAACATAAGTAATATTTTTTCTACTGAGTGAATCACTGAACTTACATAAAATACTATATCGTGTACCTGTTCAAATGCAGCTCTCCGAATGAATAAATTTGGGAGAAAAATTTACTGGTTATGTACATACATGTTTAGAAAACATGCTACTTGTAGTCATAACAATGAGCATCGCTTATCGATTTTTAAATCCTACTCCCGGTATTCACACCATGTATTTATGCTCTGATCAAGTCAGCAGCAACAGTCTGGCTTGTAACATATTTTATAAAAATATCACATTTTAAATTTTTTTAAACAACGCCCTTTTTTTCTTGATAGACTTACCAGTTGTTTCAGGATAAAATTACTACATAGGTGTTTGTGATTACAGCTGTACTACAGAATATGATAAAAATGCCTTTTGGAAGGATGTAGATGAATTCACTCTAATATAAATAACATTTTTTGAAGTGCTATTTCTCCAAAATCTCTTTAAGTTACTCGTCACCATAAATACATAAGAATTTTACGTGAAATTCTCATAGTTTGCGTTATCTGTGAAGAGCTGGCTTCTTAAAATACGGAAAGCCACAACTCAGTTCACGTTCCTAGAACCGTCTGGAAGATTTCCACCATTTAATGGATGATATAGCCTGAACAGCTCAGTAGCTTATGTTTATGAGGCGTAATGTATGAAGGTAACTAAGACATTTGTAGAAAAGCCAGAATAGATGGACTTTATATCCATGCATATATATGAACTGAGATAGAAGTTGGCAGCCACAACTTCATATTTAAAAAAACCGTAATAAATTGTTTCAGCAGTAAATGATTTGAATTTCGCTTTGAGTTAATGATGATTAGGATTCATTAGTTTCAGTAGAAATTCACTTTTTCTTCTTTTCATTCACTTTTGTTGGTTAAAATGTCATATTTGTTGTATTGCATGGTAGAATGCAAGGGGATAGAATTAGGTCACCGTATTGCGTAAAATTTTGTATTTATGAAGCCGAAAGAACGTGATTCAGAGTTGGAAAACATTCTGTTTCTTTTTATTATAATATCTTTGTGCTCAGAGAAGAAAAATTATTATATTTGAGGGTATTCACTCTTAGTATCACTAGCTAAATACTTCACTAAATGGTTAGCGTTATCAAATGTTCAATAAAACTTTAGCATCAACCTAGAATTCTCAAAATAATGAGATAAACTGTCGAAGGATCACATTTACTTTCAGTGATAAATTCACCTTTATGTGTGATGACTGTTCCCAACATAACTTTATGCGATTTTCCAGTACAAACTGCTTATAACCGTCACATGCAACAGTAGTATCATCACTGTACCTTATATCGTTTCCTTAACTCCCTATATGTGTGTTATACTGTTATCTAACTTTACTACCATTTACGCCATATGCAGTATGCTGTAGTTTCATTGAGCTAATACCTCCTACTAAGTAAATGCAAAATATGAAGGTATATACAACATTTGCACACAAAGTCTAGTATTAGTAAATTTTAAGGTAAAACGAAAGTTGCTTCATGAACACTGCTTAACAATAAAAGTAATTCTTTAATTCCAACAAAAGTCTTACCTACAAAATTTGACCGCTGTGGTTTATTTGCCTTTCTAAGAAGTTCATAATACCAGTGCTTTACTTTTTCGACACTACAGTTTTCCATTACATATTGATCAACAATATTGGGTTTAGTTTTCAGATATTCTAGAGTTTCATACTCCATATCACTATTCATATTCTTGTAAAATGCATTCACCTTTAAAATAAAATACCAAATCATATGAGAATAAGCTTGAATCAGCTATAATAAAATTGAAAATTTGAATCTGATTGTTGTGAAGAGAATTTGTATTGTGTTTACGGATATACAGTCTCCCTGAAGAATGAATCTTAGGTGCTGTATGTTTTCTTCTCAAAAGTAAATGTCCAAAAGTTCCACTTCGTTCAGATTCAATTTATGTGTTTTGTAAGTCAGATGATTGCTTCTATTCAGTCTATCATTTTTGATTTATATAAGATACAAGCATATCCTATATTATTGTAGAACGGGATGTGGTTAAAAAGGCTAAAGAATGTTTAACTGTTTTGAAATCACTTTATCTTAGTAAAACATTCAGGAAGAATGAAAATACAGGCGATAAATAGACAGGTAAATAAATAAAGATACGAAAGATAACCTTCAAAGTGAAGTAAAGTTATCAACTAGTAGACGTTCGGTGATAAATAAAATAAAATATAAGAATTGAACTTGTTCACTATGGTAGAGCATAATTCCATTTTGGATAAAATTCATTTTGATAAAGTCTCACAGTGTTATACAGTAATGTTTATTGATCAGTAAATATGACTGCATAACACTGTGAGACTTTATTAAAATAGATAAATAGATAAAGCCAACAGTAGGACTTATTTTCAGATGCTAGGAGTCTAAAGGATCATAGATTCAATGAACGTTTCTGGTCAGCCTTCGTGGGCATAAAAATTGAAGTTCGACGAAAAGAGAAGATTACGATTGACACAGAAGCAACAGACTAAATAGGGAGAAGACCTAAATAAATTCATCAAAATAAGTGAACATTACTTAGGAGTCAAATACATTTTTAAGAAACCGTGCGTCGGTGGCACAGTGGTTAGGATTCTCGCCGACCATGCATATGGTCCGGGGTTCGAGCCCACGCCGGCGCACACCTGATATCTATGGTCGGCCTGCAAAATTTGGGCTACCGATATCCACGCTGAAAATTCCACACTTGTACCAAAAATACAGTGTGGAATCAAGCTGTAAATAAAAAATAAAAAAATAAAAATATAATGGAGGAACATCATTTGCTTAGAAAACCAAATAAAGTAGATGTATTATCAGGTTTCACTGTTGCCATCAGCGTAAAATAATATTATGTAAAAAGACCAGTTTGATACTAATTGAACTGTAACAAGGTCTAACAGTGTAAGACTATACAGTTATCTTCGTTAGGTTAGCTCAATTTTTTTCTTTGATTATACTAATATTTTAAAAAGTACTCAATGCCACAAATCTTTGGATACAAACAATGTTGATTTGACAGGAGAACTTTGGCAATATTTTGATTTTTCTACCACCCAATTTTCGGCCATCATGAAAGAGTTCCTGCTAAACCTTTGTTTATTCAAGGTTTGTTTTTGGAGAATTAAAACTTCTCTCTCTTTCTCTATCTCTTAGATAGTTATATCTTTCGTCCCTCATTACTATGTTGGTTGACAATATTATATTTCCATCGAATGGAGCAGTCGCTGCATTATCCTTACTTAATGTTCAATAAAACAGTCGTTTTACAACCCTTTATTATTTGAGATTGAAACGTTAGGTACTCTTCAAACTAAATTCAGTTCTGATGCAACTTACTAGTTAGAGTAAAGATAGGTATGGTTCGAAAGTTTTGTTTTATTAAGGAATCGACAATAAAATTTTGTATCATTTATGTAGGTACAACACGCAAATAATACGTTACTCGCCCATTAGAAAGGTGAAATCGTCAAACTAATTCTGGCTAATTTTATGAAGTTATCATCAAACTGTTTAGGGATGCGCCAACTCTTGTACTGGCTAATTCATACAGAAATACCTAATGTCAGTCACTAAAGTTCTCACAACTCTTTAGTTGATTTCTAGACCCACTCAGCAACGGAGGTGAATTGAGACAGGCGGAACGTGTGTTCAGACAAAAGGTCAGAAGCACATACATAAAAATTTAAAATACAAAATATGGTACCTGGTGCCAATCAGAAACAGCAGGTTTTACAGATGATGATTACAGGTGATTGCTTATCAGGCTATATGTTAACCATATTTGGCATGGAGTAAATTCTGTTTGTTTAATTTATGAGTTGGTTGGTAGTCCCCTTATTACATATATTTTTCTAATTATTTATATTTTGTGTATTTTATCCACAAAATGCAATATTGAGAAAGTCACTTGCATTATTATCACGAAATGATGCTATATCTTTAGAGTAGAATAACAAATACTTCTTATCACTTCTATATAAAGCCAATTTTGATGATGATACAAGTGTACTCTTTCTAGATGATAGCTAATTTTGATGATTAGGCCATTGTTTTTAAATCCACTTAAACAATTTTTGAAAATTAGAGGTTAAAAAAAAAAAGCACAGCTATATACATAGTGGGATGATTTAAATTGCTCCTCACAACTTAGGGTTCTTCGTAATTTCGGGTACCGCTTTGTGATCTGAATGGATAAGGTAGACTGCTCAAAATGTCTTCAACGTGTGCCAGAAACGTGGAGAGAATAAGAAGAAAAAATTAACACGTATTCAATTTTATTGTGCTGAAAAAATAGTCTTCTGAGTATTTTGAGCAAAAATCTCAACATGTGTTGTGATGCGATTCGACCCTGTCATATGCAGGATGACGCTGAAGAACTGGTTTGCAGCGACTCCTAGTTTAAAGACAGAAAGTGGAGACATTGAATTTGTTTACCACTTCACTTATTTTGGAGTTTGCATAAGCCCCCCATGGACTGATTAGAGACAAGATTTCAGCATAAATACAATGGAATCATGTGGTATTTGGCATTTCACCTCATCTCTGGCGTAGGTGTGATATCTGGTTATCATTTAAAGTGAGCATGTACTGAGCGGCAGTTTACAGCAGTCCTTTTTATGCCCGTGAGACGTGGCGATTGGCAGCTGAATAAACGAAGAAATTGCCTGCGTCTCACCACAGGTTTTTTCATTCTTTTTCCCATGTTAAGTCGTATAATATAGTAGATAATATTAAAGTTAGAAGTAATTATTCCGCATACATATAGCAGTTCATTGCTTTTCTGGTGAACCCCTAAAGTTTTAGTCGTGTTGATTTCGCCCATGGGACAGAGAATCTCAAGTTTCACCCCAACAATTCTCAGCTTAATAAATTGTAATAAAAACATTTTTGAGGCGTCCTAAATGTAACAAAATCTACCCTAAATCACAAGACTGTCCTCATACATCGTAAATTTCTACCCACTCACCCCCTAGCCACTTGATTAATAGGTCGACTAGACTACTTTTGGAAATATATGTAATATTTAGCGAAAAGCAACGTAGGCTGTCTACTATTATCGATGGTACTGCCGATTGTGGTGAACTGGATGATACGAATAACAATAGCGAGTGAGAAAACAGGAATACGTTAGTCCAGCAAGAAGACTCTAAAAAATCTGAAATTTGTTGATGATTTATGCCCAATACCACATGAGCTTGAAGAACTACAGGCATTAAATAACAAGTCAGAAGAAGCAGCGAAGACAAGACTTCAAGAGAAAATAGAAAAGACAGAAGTGATTATGTTACCTGAATACTAACGACAAAGCTCACCAGTCACTATAAACGGTGAATGTTTGAGGGGAATTCAATGGTTTCGCTAATATGCAATTTGTATTGCCTGGACAGACTTTTTAAGATGAGACATTACGAAGAAAATCTCAGTAGTTTTCGATGTGAGAAACAATCAACCTATTCGAAAATGTAATCTGAATAAAAATGAGCGTTTTGGTATGGAGATTTAACTCAACTTATTTTTTAAACAGAATTATGAAATGTGACGGATTTCATGACCACACTAAGTGATAGTCAATTCGAAAGTAGTCCAAACATTAATATCATTACGTCAATGATCATAAATAGATTTATTAATAAGTAGGTCAATTAAATCATTTTTTTACCGACCTATTTATAAATTATGAATCATTCTTACTTCTAATAAATGTTCTGTTTCACACATAATAAGAGAAGAATACAACCTAACTCCTATGCAAACAAACTGCCATTAATTTAAGGTTCATTTATTATTGCTGTATTATAAAAACTAAGTTATCATTGCTGACAATATTCGTATCACATATCGCCATATGGCGATGGGTAGTGATGATTAATAAACACATAGTCTTATTATACGTTAAGGAATTATGGGGAATCTGATACACTTTGAATTTGATTTTTTTGTCTAGCAAGTCAAAAGTAGAGTAAGATTTTATTAGTGAAGTAACGATATTTTACACTCAGACCCACAAATTACATATTTGTTCCCTTTTAAAAGCAGTACCACGCTATCTGTACTCCTTTTAAAGTAATTTTAGACTGCCGTATGGTCAAATTTTTCAGTTTTTGCTAACCACAATATTAGAACCTTCGATCAAAGATTCTAATTACCGATAATTCTGAGCTTCTTATTATATCATTGTACCTTTATCAATTTGCAGTTGAATTGAAAGTAAATTAAATTCTGAATAACCAAGCGAATTTCAGTTGTTTGCTTCTTTCAAATCAAGTTTTATAGTAGCTGTGAAATGCTCACTTATAAAAAGTTAAAAAGCGCGATAACACATGTTGTAATTTATATGGAGAAACAAAAGTCATTTGCCAATCAGCGTTTACTCAATATCCAATATCCTGATTACGAGCTAGTATAAACCAGTGATTTCTTTGAGCTCGCTTCTTGATTGTGAGGTAGAGGTTCCAGATCTTCGGTGAGCTTCTGCGTAGTAAGTCCCGCCACTCGACTGCTTTAGCTCTGGTAGACTCCAGGAGGAGTGGTGCGGGGATTGGTCGAGATGTGGTTTGTAGTATGCAGTATGTTAGGACTGTATTGCTGCCGTGAATGGAGTTTGACCTAACTCCCCTTGGTCATTCGGTGTAGTCATAAAAGCAGAATAGTAATAATAATAATAATAATAGGTTGTAGTGTAGATAATA